AATCAGAATCAAAGTGGCCACAGTGGTCTGGCCGAACACTCTCCAGCTCGGGCGCCCGCTGCTGGGACTGTCCCTGAGCAGCTCGGAGACCAGTGGGCTGTACCTGTGGGCCCTGGGGCGCTGGAGGCCTGGGAGTGAGCAGGAACAGGGCCCCAGGCACCCAGCCCAGCCCCCACCAGGGCCTGGGGACCACACCTGCCTTGGGGACGAGCAGCCCAGGCCCTGAGGATGACAGAAGGTCCTTGGGGTCCCGGTGAAACCTCCCTCCATCTCCACCCAGCGTCCCGTCCCAGGGGCCTGTGATGTGGGCAGGTTGCAGGGGCTGGGCCAACGCTCCCGAGGGGCTGCCGGGTCAGGTGGCTGCACCCGAAGCGTCTGCGCACTGCCTGCCACTCTGTCCAGCGACTCCCCCACACACCTCTCCCCACCCATGTAGAACCGTGCAGCCCGGGAGTGGACCCAGCCCACCTTGGGGACACCCCAGGGCCAGAGGCTCAGGCCTGAGTCCAGCAGTTTGGCTCCCTCCTGCCCAGGCGCACCAGGCCTTTGGGGCGGGTGGGGGCTGCAGCCAGTGCCCAGGAGGGTGTGGCTCTGGTCCCCTCGCAGAAGAGTGTAAGCGATTCTGAAGCAGAGGAGACACAGGGGCGAGGGCGAGAGTGGTTCCTCTGTAAACACCCGGCCGGGTGTCTCCACTCCGCCCACCTCTGCCTGGGGTTCCACAGCCCAGGGCAGGCGGGCCTGTCCCCAGGTTCCCGGGCCTGGTCAGAGGGAGGTGCCTGGGGTCAGGCACAGGGCAGCTCCACTCAGCCAGATGCCTGCCCACCCTGGGGGTGGGGTTCTCAAACGCCCGCCTGCCCCCCTGGACCACCAGTCACCAGGGACGCCCCACAGATACCACCTGCAGGGACCCCAACCTCACTCAGACGCCCGATAATGAGGCCCCGACAGCCCTCCCTCTTCTGCTCCAGGCCCTTGTTTGGACTCAGCCCCAGGTCTCAGCCACGTGTGGGAGGGGCTGTTTCCAGCCTCAGATGGGGACAAGAGAGAAGTCCAGCGAACCCGGACCTGACGGGGCAGAGAGACCCCCTGGCAGGACCACAGTCATGGGACGCAGGAAGGGTAGACACCCAGTGGCTCCAGGGGCCGAACGTGGTGCCGTCAGCCCACAAGTCTCTCTGGTCATTGAGACAGGGTGTGTCTTGTCCCTTGGACAGCGTCACCCCACACTCAGGTGTGAGGTCCCTGGTCTACCCGCTGGCTCAGTCCAGCCAGTGTCCCAGCCCACGGCCTCTCTGCTCAACTTCCCCCCACTGAGCAGCTGCAAGAGCCCGCCCCACCCCAGGAGGCCCCGTGCGGGCGGGGGGAGGGGGCCTCTCAGCTCTAATTACACTCCTGGAAAGAGACTCCGGTTTAATTTGGAGTAAAGCAAGAAGTGCGGTTGGAAGTGTCCCCTTGGGGCCCCACCTGCCTGAGCTGGGACACGTCTCTCTGCTGTCCCCAAGGACTAGGAAGGGGAGCCCCAGGCTGGGGCCAGGATGGGGTGGGGCTGCTCGGGACTTCGGGGTTCTGGGGCTCTCTCCAGCAGGAGGACGTCCCCAGAGTCTGAGGGGACCCTGGCCCTGTGCCAGCTGGAATCCCCCCTCAGGACCAAAGGGTGAGGCAGGGGCCACTGAGGAAACTGGGCGGGGCGGGCGCTGGTGCCCCAGGACACGCCAGGTGGTCAGCTCGGGCGGCCGGGCTGTGGGTGCGCCGTCCCCTCCTTCTCCCAGTGCACGCCCTGCACTTCCCCCCGCCCTGTCCCTGCAGTCATGGTCGGATGGGCCTGGACTCCTGGGGTCTGGACCCCACGCCCTCACCCCCAGGACTCTAGTCGCCCACGAGTCCTTGGATCCTGGGCCAGCCCAGCGGCACTCCAGCTGGAGCCCCGGTGAATCCCCCGCCCCTCCACCTCCTGCCCTTCGTGGCTGCAAGTCTCCCTACACGGCAGAGGGGCTGCCCCCACCTGCTTCAGCCCCAGGGTCCAGGACCCACCCGCCCTGCCCACTGCCCTGCCCACACCTTCCATCCCCCTCGTCCTTGTGAGAAGCACCTGCCCCTCCCGGAACACGAGCCACCTGGCCTGTGGGCTCCGGGTCCCCACTCAGCCCCGTGGCTTCTCCTCACCCCTCAGTGACCAGGACCAGCACCACACCTGCATCCTGGCAGGGACAACTCCAGCCCGCCCTGCCCTCCTTGCCCCTTTTCTGCGGGACATAGGAAGCCTGGCACTCTCACGTCCGGACTGTACGCAGGACACGCTGGCAGCACACGGGGCCGTGGAGCACAGGGTGGAGCAGGGTGGAGGGGGACAGATGCGAAGTAATAAGCGTGAGCTGAGAGGACCCGGCGGGGACGAGGGCGCGTGAGCCCCCCGCCCCAGGCAGGCACAGCACTGCTCGTACGGCGTGCTCAGCGCCGGCTGACACGCAACAAGTCCTGAACAAATGCCTGGCTAACAAATGACCCGTGTGTGGGGCGGCTCACGTAGCTAGACAGACACGTGGATGGAGTGCTGACAGAAGGACAGCCGCAGGACAGGCCCTCAGTCCCTCCCAGGGAGCCGGGACGAGAGGCTGTGCCCCCACCCCAAGGTCCAGGGTGCAGCCCAAGCTCAGCTCACAGGCAAGCGGGCAGGAGGTGAAGGGGCTTTCCCGAGGCAGGCCGGGCCCTCCCAGGGCCTGCAGACCCGCCCCAGAAGCAGGAGAGACCCCAGCTGGACTCTGGGGTGCACTGGGCTTTGCCAGGCAGCAGCAAGGGCCTCTCCCCGCCCGGCAGGGCCTCCAGCCCTCTGGGCACCAATTAGGCTCACCCTAATTAAAACAACAAAGCAACAAGAAGTAACAGGCCCCCTGGACGGCTCCCCACAGGGAAGTCAGCTCAGGAGGGATCGGAGTCAGGGCTCCCCCCTGATTCCCCACCAGCCAGCACTCACCCCAGAAGGACTCAGGGCCTCTCCCCGCTGTTCACAGGCATGCACGCCGGACCCACACCCACATGTACACACGTGTGCACACACGACACACGCACATGCATTTACTAACACATATACCCACCCCACAGGCGCTCACATACACTTGCCCACACATGAATGCAGGCCCACACCCACACACGTGCCCACACCCATGTGTGTGCACATGCAGGCACACGTGCAAACATGCACACGCAGATTTGCACAAGGATCCTCCGGTAACTCGGGGCCAGCGTGCGAACCCCTGCAGGACACAGGACACCCTTCCTACCGGGCCTCCCCCTCCCAAGCCAGCTCAGGCTCCAGGGTCAAGGGCAGGACAGAGAGGTGGGTGCTGGCTCCCAGCCCGCCTCCCGAAGACAGAGAACGCAGGGCCTCGGGGCCCAGACCAGAGACAAGCAAAGCAGAAGAGAGAGACGGAAGGAAGGAAAGAGAGAGCAACGGACCCACGAAGAGACAGACGTGTGGACGGAGGCGGAGACCCGAGAGCAAGTCAGGGAGGCGGAGTGGGACCGGGAAGGGGTCCGGAACCGGAGGAGGCAGGGAAGCAGGCACAGCTGAACAAGAGGACAGAAGACGGAGAGACAAGAGGGGTGGGGGGGTCTGCAGGGCTGGAGTGGGGAGACCCTGGGGACCTCTCACTGGGGCTCCCAGGATGGCGAGCCCGCCGGGAATGTGGTCACCAGGCAAGGGAGGGCAGCTCAGGGGCACCCTCAGGAGGTCTCCCCCAACCCCACCGAGGGACCCAGGCTCCCTGGGCCTGGGGTCAGGACATGCTTGCGGAAGACCCGGGGGTCCTGCCACAGGGAGGGCGCGGGCAGACTCCCCGCCGCACGCTCAGCACCGCGGACAGCGCAACCGGCGCTCGGCTGGCACCACCCCCCACCCCGCCCTGGCCCTCGGCACTTCAATAATCCGCTAATTTGCAGACACCCCTGACCCCTCCTGGGAGCCTGCCCCAAGCCAGGCTCTGGGGACACCCTGGAAAATAAGATGCTGTTCTTGTCCTCAGGGACTCACGTCCAGAGGGAGGGAGAGAGACGTAAACAGTGACACTGCCCGACCCTCCCCCACCCCCGCAGTGCCTGCTGGCCAGGCACCCCCCCACTGCACCCCCGAGAGTCATCAGTGGGACAGAGGGCTGCACACACACACAGCAAGGACCAAGAGGAGCAGAGGCGGGAGCACCCAGAGGCACCTCCCCTCACACTGGCCAGTGGGCTGGGTCTCCTGGGGCCCAGGCGGCCACACCGTGGCCCCGAGTCAGAGTCTCCAGGGAAGAACGGACCCCAGTCCCTGGCTCCGGGCAGGGCCCGTGGGGCCGTGCAGACAGGTCTGTGCCGCAGACCCCGCAGCACGCACCCCCCACCCGAGCTCAAGCAGGAGCTCAGCCCTGCGCTCAGCTGTGGACAATGAAGCAGAGCAGGGACCCTACAGCACCCATCAGACAGATGGGGAAACTGAGGCCCCGGAGGGCGGGGGCTCAGCAAGGAAGGGCAGGGCCCTGTTCCCCCGCCGGCCCCCCGGTCAGCTTCCGAGACCCGGGCTGCTGTGGGTCATCGCCAGGGCCTCCATGAAGAGGGATGTGGTGGGCAGGCTGCGGGGCCGACAGCTCCCAGGAGCCACGTGCACCCCAACATGGCCAAGCCCCAGGGCTCGGGGAGACCTGTGCGGCTGCGGCCTCTGGCAGAAGGCGGCTCCGACCCACGGACACGCTGCTGCCCAGGCCCAGACCACCCCCTGCCCTGGAAATCCTGCCCCCGTGCTGACCCGACCACTGAACCAGCGGCCCCGCCCCTGTGGCCCTGCCGGCTTCACCTGAGGACAGGTCCCTGAGAGCGGGCCCCTCAGCCGAGGTCTACAGCACAGTCACCGCTCAGTCCCGCATGAGCGGCCGAGATTTCCCCACACCCGGCCCCTGCAGCCACACCGCCGCCTCCCGTGGGGCGAGGAAGGCCACCTGCCCCAGCAGGGCGCGCCCCGGGCCACCTACCCCGTGAGGACCACCACGAAGTCCATGACGTTCCAGCCGTTGCGCAGGTAGGAGCCCTTGTGCAGCACGAAGCCCAGGGCGATGATCTTGATCCCGGCCTCGAAGCAGAAGATGCCGATGAAGTACGGCTCGGTGTCGTCCTGGGAAGAGCACAGCGCCCGGTCGCCACAGGAAGGGCTGGGTCGCCCCCCAGCAGGGGGTGCGATCACCACACGACTCTCCTGGGCTTCTCCTGCGATGGCCAGGGCAGCCCAGCGCCCACCAGTGAGTGCCACTGCCGACCGACCCCACTTCAAAGGAAACTGAAGCTCAGAGAGACCGAGGGCCTGGGCCGGACACTCACAGCCTTGTGAGGCCACCTGCGCCTGAACCTGGGCTCCCGAGGTCAGTGCCCCGGCTGCCCGCTTGTTCACTGACACACGTGTTCTGGATGATCAACACACGCAGCTCTCAGGAGCACACGTGGCTGGGCCCAGGGAGTCCGTGCAGGGAGGCATCCAGCCGGGCGGCCTCGGGAAAGGCTTTGCTGCCGGAGGGGGCAGCGTGGACACAGGGATGGACTGGGGCATGGTGGGGACCTCGTCTGCACCCCGGCAGCAGGCCACGCAGCCCAGCAGGATAGGACAGGCCCTCTGGTGCGGGGTGGGGACAAGCTCACAGGGCTTGGCTGGGGAGGACACCATGTGGGCACGTGCACAGTGTGTGGTCGGTGGCCATGGAAGTGGCAGAGTGTGCCTGGGGGCAGGTGAACCTGGGAGCTGGCAAAGGGGCAGGTGCACTGGGAGGCTAGCGTGCGATGACCAGGGACCGGGGGCAGCCCTCAGGCGCCTGCGCGCCAGCTCTGCTGCACGAGAGCAGGTGGGAGCGGCCCTGCCGCTGGGGCGAGGGGCTGGGGCCGCAGGGCCGAGAGGGCAGGTGGGCCAGGCGGCTCTGCCAGCTCCCACTCAGCACCGCAGCCTGCGCCTCCCTCTCCTGGGAACCCCATCGGGCCCTCAGCCCGGCCTCTCGGGCCCACAGCTGATGGGCCTCCCTGCGAGGAGTGTCCATCCCAGCCCCGCTTCCCCCTCTTGCCACCCTGATGCTGACTCACGCCAGAATCGGACTCTGCCCCCAGGCTCCTGGTCGCGTGTGGCTGGACCGCCCCTCTCCTCTCCTGCCCCAGGGGAGCTGTGGGGCCCTGCACACGGATCGCACCAGAAAGCTTCTGGGCAAACAGAAGGGCAGGCCTGGGGGAGATGGGCAGGCCCCACCTCGACCCCTGGCCTCACAGCTCTTCCCCAGCTCTGCCCTTGACTGAATGGCTGAGCACTAGCCAATGAGAAAGATGGGGGCCCTGCAGGCGAGGGTCCCGCTGAAGGCTGCTCAGGAAGGCAGTGAGTGGGCAGAAAGCAGAGCCCCCAAGACAGGGAGCCACAGAGGGCCCCTACCAGGCAGGCCGCCTCACTCCTCCAGCCCTGGCCAATTCCCAGGTGGAGCACCAGCCTCCAAGCCAGACCAGAGCCACCTCTGCCACCTCTCCGGGCCTGGCTCCGAGCCAGCCTTCTGTCCAGCCAGGGAGGCCGGCATGGAGGGCGGGGGTCAGCCGAGGCTTCCTCAGGCCTTGGGCCGGGCCCAGGCTCAGCCCCCAACCCTCGCAGTAGGCTTACACCCCTCACCACCAGCCAGCCCCCCCAGGCTGGAGGCAGGAGCTCGGACTTGGCTGCACGCCCAGCTGGCCCACAAGCCCGCCTGCCAGTCGGCAGGAACAGGCCTGAGCCTGGCCGCTGCACCCTGGCCTCCCTGCCTCCTGGCCGGCTTCTCTCCAGCCCAACCCTGGCCACACTTCCTTGGGGATATGACCGGGGGGTTCCTGGGGCCTGGCCTCTGAGACTCCATGTAGGAATCGCCTGTTCCCTTTCTCCCCCTGGTCTCTGCCCTCCAGGGTGGGTGCTTGGCACCAGCTCACGGCAGCAGGAGCCTGGGTCCAGAGCAGGCGAGGGCCCCCACCCAGCCCACACTCCAGTGAGGCTCAGCACAGACTCACCCCACTCCACTGGGGGGGGCGCACTGCCCTTCACGCTCCGAGTGTGCCCCCGGCCTCCCACCCCTGGCAGTCCACCGTGGCTGTCCCCTTCCCTGCCTCCCCAGTGCCCTGCTGCCTGTAGGCCCCCAGGGCAGCCTCGCTGACCCCTTTCCCACCACATGGCCTGTGGCGGGGGCAGCAGGGAGGCCCAGAGCCCAGGCTGACACCACACGGGCCATGCTGTGACTGCTCGTCTCCACTGAGGTTACGGAGACAGGCTTGGGGAGGACCAGTCACCTGCAGAATGTGGGCAGAGGCCTCAGCGGCTCCCTCTCCAGACCACTCTCCTACCCACGTCAAGAGCCCAGGGGGCTGGGGGATCTGAGGGCCAGGGCACATGGCCTCACCACCTAAGCCCGACCCCTCCAGTGGCCCCAGCTCTTCCAGAGGAGACCCCGCCCTGGCACCGGCCCTGTGCCTCAGCAGGGGTCTGGGAGCTTGAGGCAGCAGCTGGTGGAGACCACACAGGATGTTTTGGAAGAAGGCCTGGAGGGGCCCCCAGGAAAGGGACTCCAAGCCAGGGAGACAGTTCAGAAGGAGAGGCTGACAGACCCAGGGCCCTGCCACAGCCGCCCCTCCCCAGGGCCCTCGGAGCCTGACACTCCTACCCCATGCCTTTAGGAATAGCCCCTGCCACACACACACACACACACACACACACACACACACACACACACACAGGTTTAGTTCTTAGTTCTTAGCTCATGAAGACTTAAGGCTGCAGTGGATGGCCCTTTGGGGTGGACAGTGGTTGATAGCACAGGCCGAGCAGCGCGCCCCCCAGCATCAGGGGCTGACCTGGCTGCTGCAGTCCTCTTGCCCCTTCAGGGAGGAATCAGCCTGCTCTAGCTGAAGGGGAGGCGTTCTGTCCCAGATCCGAAAGGGTCTGGGCCCAGACAAGCAGCCGCCAGCACACTCACCAGCCGCTCGGACATGGGAGTCTTGTCACCATCAGGGAGGTGCTGCTCCAGGGCCAGCACGATGCAGTTGGCGATGATGGTGGCCAGGATCATATACTCAAAGGGAGTGCGTGGGTTAAGGACAGGCCAGTTGGCGCCACGGGGAGCGGGGGACGCGGAGGCCGGTCAGCGGCAGCCCAGCAGACGCCAGGGGGCCTCCAAGGGCCTATGACCCGTCCGGACAGAGCCCACCCCTGCCTCCCCCCCTCCTCTCTGGGGGCCACCCAGAGAGGCCTCTGCAGTCGTGGCAGCCCGCGGGTCCCCACATCCCGGCGGCCGTCAGCACCGCGGACAGCTCCACCCGGCCCCGCCCTAAGGGGAGGGGGTGGTGCGCCCCCGCGTGAGGCCAGAGGAGGGACCCCGCGCAGGCGCACTCCCACCTAAAGATACAACCACATGTAGCTACACAGGCACGTGAACATGCATGTCCCGAGAGCCCCGAACGCACGCACGCGCAGCGCAGGGTTCACGTCCTGCCCGCACACACATACACACGAGCCCGGACCTGCAGCCAGGCACGCGCACGAGCCCGCGCCACGCCAGGCTCCCACCTATACGGACCCGGCTTCGCCCTCGGGTGCCCTCCGAGGCGGCCACGCGCTCTGCGTCTGGACTGAGGGAGCGAAGGGACGACTCCGCGGGCAGGCCAGGGGGCTCCACCCAGAGTACGCCCAGCTCCCGCAGCCGCCGCCACCACGACCAAACGCGCGCGCGTGCGCACACACGCACCCGTGGCGCTCGGAGAGGGGCCCCGGAGCCCCGCCCCGCCCCCTCCTCGCCGCGCCGTCTCTGGGTCGCACCCTCCTCCTGGCCCCGGAAAGATGGCCACTGGGCGCCGCATGCAACCCGCCAGGCCCCGGCCCCTCGGTCCCCGGCCCAGCCGCCCCTCCCACACCCGGCGGCCAGTGGACGCCGGACACCGCGCCCGCTCCCCATGCCTGCGCGCCCGGGAGGCCCCCCTCCCGACCCGGTCCCCGGCAGGATATGGCCACTCGGTGATGCGCTTGGCGTATTTGCGGACGACGTTGTCCTCACTGAAGACGAAGAGCGAGCGGTTCACGGTGAAGCAGTTCTGCTTGACCGGGATGGGGTTGTACAGTGCCATGGTACGCGCGCGCTGCGCGATTGACTGCTTGTAGAGGACCCGCTGGCCCGGCTGCAGCCCCCCCGGGCCAGGGCCGCCCGCGCCGCCGGCCCCGCCGCCCCGGGCCCGCTCCCCGCCGCCGGTGCCCCCATAGCGGCCGCCCAGCTCGTCCCCGAAGCGGACCATGGCTCCCGGGCGCCGCGCGCATCCCCCGCCCGGCGGCCCCGACAGGGAGACCGCGGGGCGCACCAGGCGCTCGGAGCAGAGTAGCCACGGAGCTGCCGGACCCACACCGGACCTCGCCCGGCCCGGCAGCCGCCGCACCCGACTCCGCCGCCCGCACCACGCCCTATAAGGGGCCGGTCACATGGCGGTGCCCAGCCAATCCGCGCCGCCCCGCCCGCCCGGATCCTGACCGCCCCGCCCCCAGCTGGCCGCCCCCGCCCTGTCCCCAGTCGCCAGCCTTCGGGGCTGCGTCTAGGCCCCGGGTCCTCCCCGGCTGCGCCCCAAGGGCCAGGCGGGCCAGGCGGGCGCGGTGAGCCGGCGCCCTCGGTGCCTCGGGATTGTGCTGGGTCTGGTCGCTGGCCAAATGCTGAAATGGGCGGTTGTGGCCAGGAGCAGGGCGGGGCCCGGAGTCCTCGACGGCCGTGGGGAGCAACCCAAGTGGACCCTTCTCACCTGCCCCCACCCCCACCCCAGAGGGCGTCAGCAGCCGTGTAATGCTCCAGCCCATGTGGGGTAGGGTCGGCCCTCGGTTCCCAGGTTTCTTTCCACCTCCCAGCGGCCACATCGTCAGCTCCCCTCCCCCCGCATCCCCGCTTTTGACCACCAGCTTCTTCCATGACCAGGCTCCCGGGCCCCGTCTTCCCATCCTGTCCGTGTCTTCGACATCCACATCCCTGTGGACGATGCTTTCAATCCGTGGTCTGGCGGGCGGGACGCACAGCCCTGGCCTGAGGCCCCTCAACCCCTTTCATGCCTTAGACCTTCCCATCGACACGCACGGAATCAGCTTCAAAATCTGTTTGTAGGTTCCGCGCCTCCACCTTTCATCCAATAAAAATGTAAATGGAGCCGTTGTGTCCCGCAGCGTCCCCACCGAGCACCTTTCTGGTGCCAGGCACCGGGCTCCCTGCTGGCCTAGGTGGGGCTCACATTTGCCCACAAGCAGCTGTGGGTGTTCACACGCGCTGCTTTGGCCCCAAGCCACCGTTTACTCCATTCTATGCACTGTGCACGTTGGGGAAGCAGCCCTCCCTGAATCGCTCCTGGTGAGTGACAGGGGTGTCCCTCTGCACCAGGACATCCAGAGCAAGTCGATGCCACCAGAGGTTTTGGGCAGTGCGGGCTCCGAGAGCAGAGCCAGGAAATGAGGTGGTGAGTGACGGGCGAGGAGACCTCTGAACACTGAGCCCAGGAGCTCAGGGATGGCCCCCGAGTACCGTGGAGAAGTAGCAGCAGGACTCAGGGCTCTGCCTTCAGCCCTGAGGGTGAAGGAGTGGCGGCGAGCAGAGAGGTCAGCTGACTGCCGGTCTAACAGGCTCCCCCTGGCTGCTGTGCTGGGGACAGGCCACCGGCCGGCGCCTAGGGGGCCCTCGGAGGCAGGCGCGCCGTCAGTCCCCGCTGCGGGGGCCTCTCCTGCGGCGCTAGCCGCCCGCAGCAGAAAGTGACGAAGCAGCCGCCGGGGAGTGCAGACCCCGTCTCCCCTCCCTGCCCCGCCTCCACGTGCTTGTCGCCTCCTGGCCCGCGGTGGCCGCCACAGCGCCAGGCACGCGCTCCCTACACTGCCCTCCCAAACCGGAAGGAAGCGGCAGGCGCAGAAAGGACACCCGTTTTTAAAACCGAATACGTGGTATCCTTTCATAACGAAGGAACTTTCGCAGGAGCTCCCCCGCGTATTGCTCCCTTCACTGCTTTGGGGAGACCTGGGCTTCGAGAGGGCGGGAGCGCGTGTGGGGCGGAGGACTGCGGCCGCCCCCACCCGGAGGCCGCCGACAGGCGTGTCCCAGGCAGAAACGGAGCGCCTCGAGGGTGTGGACAGGGGACGGCATGCCCCCCCCCCCCCCCGCCTCCGCTGCGGCGCGGACCACACTGCTCACGTGATGCTTGACAGAAAAACCGGACGCTCTCAGCCCTTGACCTAGGCCACTGTGGGCTGGAGCTGGTCACTGGGGTGCGGAAGCGGGGAATGAGAAAGTTGTATTTGACACCCAGGTGGAGGTGTCGGGTAGGCGGCTGGTTAGGGGAAGGGGCGCGCCTGGCTGAGTCCCTGCTGGAGAGAGGGGTCAGGGGGCCCGCACTGAATGCTCTGGACAGCCCCGCCCACCGGCCACCGCCCCGCCCCTACCTTGCCCCGCCCGTCGTCCCTGTCCCCCGCCCACAGCCCCGCCCCTCAACCTCCCCGCCTTCACCTGGCTGAGTCCACCCAGGAGTGCCGCAGGCGCCCGGCCCAGTGATGTGGGTGCCTTCATTCCCGCGCCTGCCTCCTGCTGGAACGGCTTAGGCCTCACGGGGAGGTGGAAGGTCCCAGCACCTGTCAGGCACCCGCTCTACCCTCCTTCCTCTCTCTCTAGCTCCGGTTACTGCTCCCTTCCCCGTTTCCGCTGGCCCAGGAATTGAGGGGGAGGTGGGGCGGGGGTCAGTTCTCTCCCTCAAGGCTTCGCTGCGCCTCTCAGCTGCCAGGTATCTGCCTGGATGGGGGGAGAGGAAAGGACCCTGGGTGCTCCGCTCCACCTGAGCCAAGCACAGGACAGACTGAGAAGGAGCAGCAAGTGTCCTGGGTGAGGCTGGGGGCCCGGGAGGCAGTGTCCAGGGCCCTGGGAGAAGCACGTGTCCACAGAGCATGGCCGTCTTCCAAACGCTGCTGAGACCACGGGCAACACTCAGCCTCCAGCCTCAGGGACCGAGGTGCCTGTTGCCTTGACAAGCAGCTTCCATCCTGAAGAAGGGCCTTTATGGAGTTGGGTTAAGGAGAATGGACAGCTCGTCCAGAGTGTCCCAGCAGGACGCACACGCCTGCTGGGAGAGGGAGTGGTGCTCTGCCTCCTTGCCCCCCCTTTTCTGACAGGGCCCCATCCACTGCCCAGCGGGCCCACCGCCAGCCTTCGAGTTGCCCTGGGAGGCTCCAGCGGCTGAGGGAGGTCACATGGAGCAGTGTGGTGTCCCCCATGGCCCTGCAGGCGCTGCTGGGGGTCCTGGGGTTGGTAATGCCCAGGCTTGGAGGTGGCATGGTAACTGTCCACTGTCCTGGGCTCACAGCCAGGCCAGTGTCCCTCTGTTCCCTGCAGCTGTACTGACATGTGATGGACACATACCACTGCGTGTGACTCACATGCATATTGCAAAGCGACCCCCTTCATTCCTCACATGGTCACCTTAGGTTCTGTAGTGAGAAGACGTCAGGTCTTAGTGATGTTCCCAGCACTTAGTGATGTTCAAGTTCACAGCACGGCATTAACTGTGGCCACCTAGCTCAGAATAAATCACCTTGTGACTGCAAGCCTGTCCCCTTGCCCAGCACCTCCCAGGCCCCCACTCCCAACCACTTCAGTGACTCGGCTCTTTCAGATCCACGTGTGAGGGGCAGCACTGGCACCTGCTTCCTGAGCCACCTCCCGAGCGCAACGCCCCCAAGGTCCGTCCACGTGGACGCAGTGGTAGGGCTCCCTTGTCTGGGGCTGCACGCACGTCTTCCACGGTACCTGTGGACCCGTCTTCCATGCCCACTCACCCACTGGTGGACGCAGAACTTGTTTCCTTGTATTGACGTCTGTGAATGACGCTACAGTGAGCATGGGGTGCAGAAAACCCTTTCAGCCCAGGGTGGTGTGGCTCAGTGGACTGAGCGCCGGCCTGGGAACCAGGAGGTCGCCGGTTCGATCCCCAGTCAGGGCACATGCCTGGGTTGCGGGCCAGGTCCCCAGTAGGGGGCGCGTGAGAGGCAACCATGCACTGATGTTTCTCTCCCTCTTTTTCTCTCCCTTCCCCTCTAAAATTAAAAAAGAAAAAAAGAAAGAAAACTTTTTAAGATGCTAATTTGATTTTATTTGGATAAATAACCAAGGCTGTAAGCACTGGGTCATAAGGCAGCTCTGGTTTTAATCTGCTGAGGACCCTCCGTGTTCTCCACCGCGGCTGCAGCAGTCGGCACTCCCGCCACCCGGGAGTGAGGGCTCCCTTTCCTCCACGTCCTCGCCAGCACTTGGATCCGTCTCCTGTTCACGGTCATTCTCCCGGGTGGGAGGCGGTGCGTCCCTGTGCTTTCCGCCAGCATCTCCCCGAGTGATGTGAGTTTTCTAAAATCAGAAGGCAGCAATGGTCGCCCAACACGATGAATGTGTTACAAGCCACTGCTTCCTGTATTTTAAAATAGTTAAAATGGTAAATTTTATATTGTCTGAATTTTATCTCAATAAAAAGGAAAATCTTGCCCTGGCTGGTGCAGCTCAGTGAATTGAATGCCAGCCTGCAAAACAGAGGGTTGCTGGTTCGAATCCCAGACAGGGCACAGGCCTGGGTTGCAGGCCAGGTTCCCAGTAGGTGGCGCACAAGAGGCAACTGCACAATGATGTTTCCCTCCCTCTCTTTTGCCCTCCCTCTCCTTCTCTCTAAAAATAAAACAAATAAAATCTTTAAAAAAAAGAAAAGAATGTCTTGCCCCGGCCAGGTGGCTCAGCTGGTTGGAGCACCGTCCCGCACACAGGAAGATCGCAGGTTTGATCCCCAGCCCAGGCGCAAACGGGCGGCAACCAATCGATGTTTTTCTCTCTCTTTCTCTTCCTCTCTCTAAAATCAGTAATAAAATATCCATAGGTGAGGATTAAAAATAAATAAAATAAAACTTTTTCAACTCAATAATCAGAAAAGAAACACAGCCAGCTTTGAACAACGTAGATTGCACTGTGAGGCCACCTACACGTGGGTTTTTTTTCAGTAAATACTGCAAATGTGTTTTCTCTTCCTTATGATTTTCTTTTTTTTGTTTTAATTTTTTTTTTTTTTAGATTTTATTTATTTATCTTCAGAGGGGGAGGGAAGGAGAGAGGGAGAGAAACATCAATGTATGGTTGCCTTTCGTGCGTCCTCTGCTGGGAACTGGCCTGCAGGGAACCGGCCTGCAACCCAGGCACATGCCCTGACTGGGAATCGGACCGCGAGTGTCTGGTTCGCAGGCCCGCGCTCAATCCACTGAGCTACACCAGCCAGGGCCCTTATGATTTTCCTAGTGCTTTCTTTGACCTATTTCACTGCACCATAAGAAGACACAAACGCCCAACTGTGTTCACCGGCGTTTGTCGTCAGTAAGGCTCTGGTCAGCAGCAGCTACTAGCAGTGGCATTTGGGGCTCGGAAGTCGAACTCGAACTTTCAGTTCCTCGGGCGTGTGGCGCAGGGCGCGTGTAGTTCACGGGGCAGCTGTAACTCAGTCTAAAAATAGGCTAAGGACGTGAATGCGTTTCTCCAAACGTGACACACAAATGACAAACAGGCACATTTTTAAAGATGCTCGGAATGAATAGTCATGAGACAAGCGGAGATCAATCGCAGCCCCGGGGAGGCACACTCAGCCCCAGGAGGATGCGGCCTGGGCTGGGCGAGAAGCACGGGTCGGTGTCGACGAGGGTGTGGGGGACAGGAGCCCCCGTGACTGCTGGTGGGGACAGAGAACCGTGCAGCCGCTTCGGAAGGCAGCCGGGCAGCTCTTGAAAAGGTTGAACAGACTTTCCATGTGACCCGGCAGCTTCAATTCTAGGCACAGATCCACGAGGAACGAAACGTACGTCCACACAAAAACCGTGCATGCGTGCGTACAGGGTGCGTTACCCACGAGAGCCGAGACCGAAAGCCACCCACACGCCCCTTGATGGGGGATGGACAAAGGGCGGTAGGTCCTCACCAGGGATGGCGGCTGCCCGGGAAAAGAGGCCTGACCGGGGCGCTGCGCAGCGAACCCGGAAGCCGCCTTGCTCGGTGGGAGGAGCCCCAGAGGTCACAGCACCGTGATGACAGGCCGGTCTCCGCAGACCGGGAGCAGAGCAGCAGAGGCCCAGGGCTGTGGGAGGCGGGCTCCTGGGGAGAAGCGAGTGCACCCCGGGTCCCTCTGGGGGCGCTGGCAGTGCTCCAGAGTGGGCTGTGGCCGTGTCCGCACCTCAAAGGTGTGGAGTCTGCGGTAATGAAATCTCAGGGACGCTCGTGTAACAAAGCAGCCAGTGAGAAAATGACAAGCTACAAGTTCAAAGCAATGCTATTTGGCTAACTGAAGCAAAAAGAGTAATAATGAGCCTCGAGAGCATAAGGCCAGGGAGCGGAGCGCTGACCATGGGGCACAGGCAGCCCCTGCAAACAAGACGGCCCCTGCAAGGACACCGGCTGTCACCATGGACAGTGTGAAGGGCACGGACACACAGCTGGCAGACATCTGAGGAGGCCTGAACCCAGCACAGCCGAGCGGAGAGGCCCAGCGCCCGGCTGCAGCTGGGTCGAGTCCTGTGCGGAACCGGGCAGTTAGCAGTTCTCAGAACAAAAGGTCTCTGTACTGTGTGCCTGTAGTCTTTCTGTTCTTGTTTCAAAATTTAAAATTATATGTTAAGCCCATGAAACCAACTACAATGACGCACATCACATGCTGTGTGGCTCCAGTTACAGAAACTTCTGGAACAGGCGACGTTCACCTATAATGACAGGGGCAGGTCAGCATCTCCTGAGGGGGCTTTCTGGGAAAAACAGAGATGTTCTTCACATCAAACCCCAAGAAACGCTTGAAGTGGGCACGTTACGTGGTCAGTCAGTCATATGCCGGTAAAGTCCATTTTTAAGCTTTGAAAAATTCCATCGGCCTTCTTCTGTAGGATCAGAGACAGCGGCTCTGAAACTCACGTGGAGGGCCAGGGAGAGCCAGGCCAAGGGTCCCACTGCCACAAAGCTGGAGGTCGGCCGCCGGCGACTGATGCCACGAGCGCACAGAAGTGAAGGCGCCAGCGCGAAGACAGGCCGGCGCAGGCCAGCGGGCCAGGAGGGACTCCGGAGCTGGGTGGGCACAGCCGGGCTTCATCTCCCCCTCACTCTGGTCTCAGACACTAGTTAAGAAGGAGCACAGACCAGATTAGAAACCCCAAAACTATGATGCTTTTGAAGAAAACAGGAGAACATCGACCGTGGGATAGGCAAGGACACGCCAGGGCAGAGAAAATACAGACCTCGAGTGAGCAAGGAAAGACCGGACTTGGTCGAAATGTAAGTTGTCCGCTCCTACGGAAACCAGTAAGAACTTGCATCTGAGACACAAGACGGAAGCTCTTCTGTCTGTCAAGGGACTCGTCCCGAGAACACACAGAAAGCATCACTCTGTGGCAGGAAGAGGGCCCGGCGTGGAGACGCACAGGATGCCCCTGAGTGGGCGCTGAGCGAAAAGGCGCCCAGGCCGACAGGGTCCCGTGACCTGGAAGTCGGACTGGAAGCACCAGGAGGGGCCACTGCCCACCCAGTGTAACAGAGAAAATCGAAGAGGCCTTTGGTGACGGGAGTCAGAGCAGGGGACGCCTGCTGGGGTGATGGAACGGTCCTTCCCATCCTGGGAAGGGACAGGTCACATGGGCAAAGGCCTCAGAACTCGCCGGGCTGTGCATACACCTCACACCTCATTTAAAAAATCTCAAACGGACACTGTTTCACATCACACACCAAATGAATTCCACCTGGATTCAAGAACTAAACTTCAAAATGAAACCCGGGAAACGCGCCAACTCGGAGTGGGAGGGCTTTCTGAACACGGTGCCCCATCAGAGCCACAAGGCTTCTTCCCGTGTGACCCCTTCTGTGGCCCGGGCACAGGGCTGCACACGGCAAAGGGCTCCCACACCCGACACCCACGGCACACGCAATCTTGCACAACAGCGATTCACACAAAAGGAAAAGCGGATCTGCAGTGAAAACACACACTTGGTTTTTCAATAACCAGCAACCCATGCAAAACAACACAGTGAGGAATCCTTTCCGCTGGATGGTTAGAAAAAGTGTGCGCGTGGCCCCAGTGTGGGCCGTGGGAACTGCCGCCTGTTGGTGGAGGCAAAACGGGGACCTGGTGGACGACCCGGGTGCAGGCAGGCGCCGGCCCACCACGCATGCACAGCGCGGCTCCTGGGCGCGGCACTACCCACAGGCCGGCAGGGACCGAGCCCCTCGGCCGGCGCCCGGGGGGAAGGAGCCTGACCTCAGCCAGGGAACCCTCTCGCCCAGGACCTGACGTGCACGCCCCCGACAGGCGGGGTCGAGGGGCGCACACAGATGATTCACCGTCTCCTTCCAGTCCTCGTGCCGTTTAAATTCGGGGCCGTGAAAGTAGGGCCTGTGCAGAAATAGCAACTCGGGGCTTTGCCCACATCCCAGGTGCGTGTTGGTGGCCGCCCCTGGGACCTGTCGCCGCGTGTCTCACCGGCCTGCTGTGTGCCCCCAGAATTGGCACGGCTGCTGTACACGCACGGCGGGGGCGGTGGCCCGTGGGAGCCGGGAGCCTGCCCCCGCGTCAGTGAGCTTGGGGAGTGTGCTGCTGAGCCCCTTAAGGCCTGGGCAGTGGTCAGGCTCCTCGAAGCCCAGTCCTGGAGTCCTGTTTGAAAAGGCTGGGACCTGCCATGACAGGCTACCCCTATCCCCCAAAGGTTTGCAGCTGGGTCCTGATTCTGGTTACCTGTCCACCTGTGCACAGGACGGGCCACCAGCCCACAAAGCCCCGAAGAAAGGGGCATCAGCCCTGTCCACTGGGGACGGACGGTTTCGCACACCAGACCTCGGCCACTGGCCTGGCAGTGACGCAGGGCTGAGGGACGCAGGCAAGGACCCAGCACGGGCTGCTTGCCGGCCAGCACAGCGGTGGCTGTGGGTGCAGCGTGGGACAGTGGCCCACTGGTGACTCTGTATGGAGCACGAGGCAGTGTCCTCACAGGCCCGCACAGGTGCAGTGGCCGTGTCCCCGTCCCTACTGAGCACAGAACTGATTCCAACTCTGGGGACTCACCTGGTGCTGCCACGGGTGTCCCGACCGCACACAGGCGCGCAGACGCTGGCCCTGGCACATGCGGGCCCTGATGACCGCCCAGGCGGGGGCGGCTGTGAGCACCGCGCACCCAGGAAGGGGAGGGGTTCCTGAGAGACCTCCTGGAACAGGACGCCACAGTGACAACCTCGGTGGAAGTCTTTCTTTTTTTTATTGATTTCATTGAAAACAGAACAAGAAATGGTCTTGAGCCAAAAGACTGCTCTTAAAACTGTCAAAAACATTTTAACAGAAAAAAATAAACATGACTGCATTATGAATGTTTTAGAAGTTGCACAAAAAACCCCACTGTTACTGCACTAGTTACAGTCTTTAAAAAAGTATATGCCAAAAAAAAGGTATGACCCGCAGGCCACCACACAAAAGGCGATGGCGAGTTTATCCACACTACGAGACTAATGTTTTAAAAAAGTTTTCCTGCGTTTTATTCTAAAATCACTTTGTTCTCTTTGTACAGTTGATATTTATTTCACATGGTGAGTAGAAGCCACACCAGAATCAGCACCGTTGTCTGTGGTTTGTGTTTTATTCTCCGTTGTCCTAATGTTCGGTAGCGGTAGGAAATCAATCAGTTCACTCCTCCTCGCAGCGCGGGACTCGAATCGACAAGGGCCGGCGCGGCCCGCGCGGTGTCTCCCCCAGAGGGGCAGAGTGCGGCAGGCCCGGCAGAGGACCGCACGTGGGGTTTCTCCAAAAGCAAACCCACACTTTCCCACCTGTGGTGGCTCAGCCCAGACTCTGTCAGACGGTGACGGGGACGGTGTACGTGTAGCGACGGGAACCACGGGCGGTGGGTCCAACGGAGCAGCTGGCAGGTGAGGGCGGCTTCGGCAGATGCCGAACGCAGGCTCCTGGGCCGACTGGACGCTGCCCACCAGCCCAGCGGTGGGACGGGACCCACAGGGAGCAGAGAGGCAGCGGGGGACGTGGAACGACAAAGCCGCCATCAGAGACACGAGTCTGTGCCAGCGTGGCACCGCAGTGTCCAGGGGGTGGCTCTGTGCGGGCCCGGCTCAGCACCGCCGCCTGGCGTGGCCCTCGGGTGCCACAGGCGAGCACTTCCCGTCCCCTGAACCGCAGCGTGGACGGCGCCCGGCGGCACCTCATCGGGAGCCGGTGCTGGAGGAGCTGGTGTCGGGCAGGCCGTCCTCCTGGGCCTCCTGCGCGGCGCTGGCCTGCCGCTGGGCCAGGGCGGAGCTGGAGTACCGGCACTTGGGGGACCCGCAGCGGCAGCTGAACAGCTTGCCCTTGATGTCCCAGAAGCGCTGTCCGTAGTCGAACCTGGGAAGACAGCAGAGCTGAGGCCACAGAGACAAGGAGAGGGTCCCTCAGCCCCATCTCAGTGGCCCCTCCTGGGTCCGCATTTCGAGGCCCATGTCCGGCTGCACACGTGTGGCCGGCCCCCAGCTGGGAAAGGGGTGCCGCCTACCCCAGCTGCTCCCCGGCCTCGATCAGGCGGGTGCTGAAGAAGGCGATCCGGGGGAAGCGCAGGTCCTGGTGGGACATGAACACACGCACAGGCACCAGGTTGGGCTCGCAGTGGTGGTTGAGGAAGCGGCTGACGTTCCCGTAGAAGCGCGCGTCGATGCAGTACAGCTCCCCGTCCTGCAGGGCGAGAGCGGCCACCGCGGGCGTGGTGTGACCCGGGGCTGCAGTGCCACCGGGACGTGGGGGCGGAGGGAGCACACGGGACGCAGCCGTCCCCAGGGGGGGTCAGGGAGGTGCCGCCAACCGACAACGTCCCCTCCTGCTCCGGCACCTTCAGCACCGCAGGTGGGGACACAGGGCCACACGGCTCCTTAGATGGTGGTGACGGCAGGGAGGGGTGCTCTGGGTAGGTGGGGCCGAGGGGCAGAGGAGCCGTGCGTATCAGAGAGGGGTCACAACAGAGCAACAGGACTCCCGACACCCCTGCTGCTCCACGGGTGCAGCCTGGGCCCGGGACCCTGCAACCCCCATCTTGGTGTCCCCCAGCGAGAAGCAACACCGAGCTAACTGGGAGAAAGGCAGAGGCAAGGGGCCTGGTGTGGCCACGGGGCCCTTTACCAGCAGGCTGTTTCTCTGGGAAGTTCTCAGAGCAAGAAGCCGACCCCGCAAAGCCCCCCCGTTGAGCTGCAGGCAGGGCCCCCAGAGGCCGGAGCAGAGAGCCTGGCCACAGGGAGGAAGCGAGAACCAGCCGGCACAGAGGGTGCGGCCTGGACAGAAGCGCGTCCTGGAGAGTCTCAAAGACCCTCCTGCATCCAGAGCAGGCCTGTGACGCAGGTCCAGCCTCTGCAGGGAGGGAAGGGCAGCTCTGAGCCAGACACCATCCAGGAAGCTGGGGCAGAGGCTGGGGCAGGAGAGCGGCCCGGTGAGGGGGTGGCACCGCGTCTGGACCAAGCACAGGCAGAGGCCCCGAGGAGACCCGGTGTGCGGAATCCAGACAGAGCAGCTGGGAAGGTCCTGACTCGGCCTGAGCCCAAGCCCGGCTGGAGGCAGCCAGGACGGAACAGGGACTGAAGCCGCCCTGAAAGGACGGGATACGTTACAGAAACGCTGGTGCCGCCCACGAGGACCCAGAGGACGATGCGTCTGAACAGCAGAGACGACCCGCGGTCCCTACCCTGAACTCCTGACCACCACTACGGGTCCTCAGCAAAGTGACACTGAGCACAACCCCCTCAGGGACTGGGGTCTCGGTAGAGACATGGAAGCAAGGAGCAGGTGGGACTTCTGTGCACAAGCTCCTGGCAGCTGGCAGGCCCCAGCACCTGTGTGGGGGGCAGCAAACGCCCACCACGTGCCCGTGTGCGACAGCTCACTGGCAGAGTCGGACAAGGTGGCGCCTGCCGGCAGGAGGGGCACCACACACCCCCACCCCGGGATTTCGAGGACAGGACGTGATGGGGACCGCCTGTGTTTCCGCCACGTGGGGCACTTGTGCAGTGGGGCAGGGGACCGACCGCGGACACCGGGAGAGCGCGGGACTGAGCGCGGAGCTCCTGGCGCCTTCTCTGTCGAAGCGTGTGAGTGCTGCACACGAACTGAAGAGACGCCAGAGCCCAGGAACTAACCGACACGCGGGCACAGTGGGGCAGCGGGGCCGAGACGAACAGGCACCGCGGGCCGGGCGGCAGGCGCTGCTCCCAGAGCCGCGTGGGCGGGACGAGGCTCGTGCTGTGTGAGCGATGACTCCCGGGGGCTGGAGAGCCCTGTGCTGTCCGCTCCGCTGGGGAACATCAGTGTGCACACACCAGCAGCACGTCCCAGGCCAGTGACACCACCAGCACTGAGCACGGCAGGGCAGGTTCGGACCCTGCAGGTCCCTACACGGGGGGCGGGGGCGCAAGGACGCCCGAGGAAAAGGCCTGGTGTCGCAGGGCACGGCCGAGCAGCAGTGGAGGGTCTCCCGGCGGCGCGCAGGGAGAGCAGAGCTCGTCCCAGCGGGGCCCACCGGCCACCGGGACAGACGAGCATCAGAGGAGGACGGCAGTCACTGACCAGACGCTCTCAGTGCAGAAAACCCACGAGCCCCAACACCACACAGAGCAACATGTGGGGAACAGGCCCCGATCCCTCCACAGCCAGGGACGCCCCCGTCTCCCCGCTCAGCGCCAGGCCTGGGAGGGAGGGCCTCCTCGAAGCAGGAGGGCTTGTGAACACGGATGGCCCAGCGGCCACCGGGCGAACGCACGCTCGGGGGTGGCACAGAGGCGGGTCCTCAGCTCTGGACCGCAGCCGCCCCTGCCCGATGCGGTGCCCGCACTCCCTGCACCCTGGGCCCCCAGCACCTCCCGCGGTGAAGCCTCCTGGTCGTGTGGAGCTCCTGGTGCCGGCCTCTGTGCGACCCTGCGGTGGCGAGGCCACGTCCTTGAGCAAACAGCACTCCTGGCCTCACTCGCCCACCTGCGTGCACACCGATCTCCCCCCACCAGTCCCTCGCTGTGTGTGTTCAGACATCGGTGCTCTCCGTCCAAGTTTCTCCGACAGAGAAACAACCCCCGCTCGGTTCTGGGGCAGGAACAGTGGGGGCCATGCCCACCCACAACTCAAGTTGTGCGGCCGCTCGGCCGGCAGAGCGGGCGGGAAACTGCTGCAGGAAACCCGCGAGGGGGGGCAGAGGCTGCGGCTGACGGGCATCAGGGACTCGGGGCCACGGGGTGTGCGGCGGTGACTGCCCAGGTGCTGCACACGTTTGTTCAAACGAAAACCAGACGCTTGGTACTCACTCATAATAACGTTAACCCCCCCCCAAAGAAACCCTCAAAAACTCACTGAGAGAAAACCCATCCGACTGAAGACACAGGACATCGCCCCACAGAAACCCTCACGGGCTGCGGGAGACCGAGACACGCTCACGAGACACCAGGGAAGGCGCAGCCTTGCCAGCCCACCAGCCTGTGAGCTCACCGCTGCCCCACCCCAGTGCGGGGGGTTTGCAGAGTCTCACAGAAGCCTGGGGTACGAGGACAAGACCAGGACGGCCCGTGGAGGGCAGGGCCCAAGGGCAGGGGGCCACCTCCCCAGCCGGCGGTGCAGAGTCCTGCAGACGACGGTGCAGGCACGTGGAGGGGGGAGGGCAGCTTCTGAAACAGAGCATGACTGCCGCGCACCCGGGGCTCAGCCACAGACCCACTGGCGTAGGCACTCGCAGAGGCTGGAGGTCAGCCAGCCCAGTCAGGGGAGGAGCGTGTCCACTAGAGGACCTCACGAGGAAGCAAACAAGCCGCTGAGGGACCTCTGTTCAACACCAATGTCACGGAACAGCATCCGTCTCCTATGGCCAACGTGCACTGACACACGTACGTGCTGGGGTCATGGGGGCCAAGGACCTGGCCCGGCTGCCCTGGGGAGGCCCGTCTCACACCGTGGGCACTGGGCCGGTGGGACGGCATCCACACGGGTGCACACCAGCCAACGGGGTGAGTCCTGAATAGAAAGCCCTACTGCCCCTACCACCCTAAGCTGTGCGCCCACCGGCAGTGACGGGAAGGCCCTTGGAGCAGGAGCCGGGCTGAACGCCAGCGGGGCAGCTGCTATCCTCACTCCCAGGAGGGCGGCCAGGGACACGCACACGTGTGCACACACGTCACGCGTGCCCCTGCCCCTCACACAAGGCTCCTGCTGCTCTGCGGGTCCCTGCACACAGGCCCCCCTCCTGGTGGCTGCAGGCTGTACCCCACGATGACAGGCATGGGTTCAGAGAACAGGGCTGACATGGTCTCAGGTCAGGGGTTCCCACAAGGACGACCTCCAGGCCCTGAGCACAGGGAGGCCTGCGCTGACAGGACAGACGTGTCCCCGAGGCCCAGTGGCAGCCGGCTCTATGCGCCCGAGTCCTCAGAAGGCACTACCTTGTTGTCCAGATCGAAGAGGTAAGAATCTTCTTCCCGGACGTCGGCCTCGGAATCAGAGATGAGCTCACCCACGTACCTGTGAGGAGAGGAGACGTGTGTTGCTGCGTGACTGCACAGTGAACGCGTGGGAGCCATGACACGGCCCCACCGGCTGTGGCCACGCCTGCGAGAACTGCCTGTGGCTGAGCCGATACTCAGCCGAGGCCACAGGCAGCAGGGATGCAGAAGCCCCGTGTCTGACCAGAGTCCCAGACGTGACAGTGGCACTTCCGGTGAGACAACAGGTGGAGGGAGCAGGAGAGCGGGGCAGGCCCCCTGCTCTAGCACAGTGCCTCCCGGCAAAGCCTGGGGCCCGTGCCGGCAGGGTGCACGCCTGCACCCGTCCCACGCAGCCCCACAGCAGCCTGGGCATCCTGGGTCCCCACTTACTCGCAGACGAAGGTGCCCACGGGGATGTCCTGCAGGGACCGCACGCCCCAGCCCATGTTCTGTGTCCGGTAGAGCTGTAGCCTCGTCCTGGAAAACAGGGCCTGTGCTCGCGCCCACAGCCATGGCCCACAGCTCCCCAGACCCCAGACAGGGGCCACCTCCACAAACACGCTCCATCGCCCCACACGGCCCAGAGGCGTGCCCCAGGGTGGCCCACACGCCTTTGGTCTCCACTCCTCAGGGGTCGCCTTCAGAATGTGGAACACAGACCCTGGCCTGTGCTGCACCTCAGTTTCCTCACCTGTGACACTGAGACGGACCATGGGCTGAGCCCCCGGGTCACAGTGAATCCCAAAGGGGCTACACTTCCACCAACCACAGGCTACGATGTGGGTCAGCTCGGCTACGGGACAGGCATCCGGGACTCTCCCCAGCCCCGAGAGCCACAGGCACCCAGCTGCCCATCAGCAAGCCTGGGGGTCCCTGCAGGAGACGGGCACGTTGCCCCAAAGGCCCTTCCGCCACACACGGCAGCAGAGGAAGGAGGGCCGGTCACAGCAGGCTGCAGGGACGGAGGTGTACACGGTCCCTGCTCGCCCAGGGGGCCCACGCAGTGGGTGGGTGGGGAGTGTGGACCAGGACATGGGGTCTGGGCCTGGCTCTGGAGGGCAGGGGACACTGCAAGAGGCCATTGCCGTGACCCGGGGACCAGAGGTCCGTGCTGCTCGGGAGGTCTGTGCCAGAACTCCGTCATGGTGTGGCCACTGGAGAATCTCAGGGCACTCGGTGTTCGGGGGTGACGCCAGCCCCACTGGGCCAAGCCCACTCCTCCGCTTTCAGCTCCTCTCACTGAGGCCCTTCAGTCCTCTAGGCCTCAGAGCCGAGTCTGAGCTGGGAGGAAGCGAGAGTGGCTACTATGCCCACCTGTGACCTTGACCTTGGCTCAAGGTCCCTCACACAAGAGCTCAAAGAACAAGGGCTCGAAGTCAGTCCTCAAGCACGCACCCCCCACACACGTGCAGGTGACGGACATACGGCTCAGTGACACCGCAACACCTGGCCGTCCTTCTCAAGCCCCCGCCCCACCCAGGCCTCAGGCCACTCACCGCAGGCCGTTCTGCACAACGCGGTTGCGGCAGGTCCTCCAACAGGCACAGGCATGGTTGCACTCGAACAGCAGGGGCGGCTCTGCCATGTTGAACTCGGGGAGCAGCCGGCCGTCCTGGGGCAGACGTGCCGTGAGGGCCCTGCACACACGTGCCCACCAGACAGCGACACGCTGCTCTGGACCTGCCTCCCACCAGGAGCCCTGCAGGGGGTGGGAGCCTGCACGCCTGGCCCTGCCCCTCCACCCTGTCCCACCCCGACTCCGGCTGCAGGGCCCACGGCCTTGAGCCCTGTGAACCCCCAGAGGCCTGCCCTCCTGTGAGACCCCTGGGGTGACGCACAAGGGTCGAAGGTGCCGAGTCTGCGGCCCCAGCGGCTTCAGATGCCGCCCTGAACAGCTGGAACTTTCCCAGAACCTCGGTCTCCCGCCCTCACAGGGGCCAGGCTCCACATCACACACACGTTACAGGGTGTGAGCCCCCCAGCTGTGCCCACAACACCACAGCCTCTCACTGTGACGAGCACTTGGACACCACAGGACAGGTCCCCATGCTCACACCCCCCCCCACCCCGAAGCCGACTCTGGAGAGAGATGTCTGCCTCTGGCCTCCCTTCGCAGCCTGCGCATCCCCACTGCCCCCAGGACACCCTGGCTCCTGCCCCAACCAGTGAGCTCAGAGCTCCCAAAACCAAGGGCGCCTGGGGCTCCAACTGCAGGCAAAGGGGCCGGGGGAGCCCCGCTCCCCCCACGTGCTCCACTGCTTCCAGGCCACATCAACGGCCCCTCTGCCCCTCAGGTCAGGACCCTCTGTCCATTCCCTGGACGTGGCCACCCCCAGCTCAAGGACAGCTGGCTTTGTCCCCACAGCCCTGCGCCTGCTGCTCCTCCCTGATGCCTTTCCGCAGCAGCTCCCTCCCACGGCCGGCCCGGCGGGCGGTGCTCACCTTGCCGTACCAGCAGCGCATGCTGAGCTGGCCGCACATGCAGTTGCTGGAGGAGCAGTCGTCGATGCACACGCAGTACTGCGGGAGGGGGGGGCTGTCACACGGGGCGCAGTCAACAGGGCGCCCGCAGACGCTCCGCTTGGCGCTCGTCGGCCACGTCCTTTCTGAAAGTGACGGTGGGGGCGGGGGGCGGGGGGCGGGGTCTCTCGGTGCTGCTCTAGGGCTCCAGGGGTAGCGCGGGCTCCCAGGAAGAACAGTGGGTGGGCGCGGGCGCTGGGTGAGGACCCCAGGAGGGGAGGGCGGCCAAGGGCAGGCGGGGCTGCACTGACCACACTCCCGGCAAAGGCCGGGCTGGGGGCCGAGGGCGTGGAGACAGCACGGGTCTGACTCGTGCCCCTGCAGGGGGAAGGGCTGTGGGCACGGGTGCGGAGGCGGGACCCTTGGTGCGCGGCATAGGTGCCTCTCCTTTCACGGTCCCTAGAACCGCCACTCATTGAGGACACTCAGTTCTCCTTCTGGGGACCGGGGACCTGGGACCCGGGCTACTTTCTGGAGGGACCTGTGCGTACTTCTGGCTGTCAGTGGGAGATGGCCACCAGAGCGCTGGGCCTCCGGGGGCCCTTGGCCCCACTGCTGCCCCAAGAGGACAATACCAGCTCCCGCCGCGCAGACCTGCAGGTGCGTGATGTTCCGGTCAATGTTCATGGGGGACGTCACGCAGTTCTGGGAGACGTACTTATAGTTGCTAGGGCTCGGCTCACTGTCCACGGCATTGACGCAGGGAATAGGGATCCGCTCGTAGCCCCGAGCGATGTCCCTGCCACAGGAAAGGGGACGTCACCTTTGCTCCAACGACCCAACTGGGACAGAGGACCCACGGGGCCACCACTGAGCATGGGGGTGGGGCCTGCACTGCAGCTGGGGGTGTCACTGCTTAGCAAGAAACTCTCGTCACAGACCCTCGCGCCCCCCTTGTTGACCATGGTGCCGGGTGCCGCACACCTGCTGACGGTCCTCTCCACGGGGACCGGCCGGTCCGGGGCCGAGTCCTGCAGCGCCTTGCTCATCTGCAGCGCGCTCCACACCTGAGAGTTGAGGCTCGCACACTGCAGCGGCGTCTCCCCCTCCTTGTTTTTCAGGTTGACATCTGAGTCCCGAGAAAGAAAGAGGCTACGAGGAAAACCGAGAGCCGACAGAACATTCGGACCGTGACTCAGAGGCAGGGAGACGAGGCTCGTGAGGTGACTGCGACCAGTGCAAACACCGAGAACCGGAGCCCTCATCCTGATGGCGCGCTCGCTGCCCGGCGCTCCCTCACAGGCTGGCCCTCACGCGCCACCGAGAACCCAGGTCCTGTCCTTGCCCACCACAGTCCATGGCCACCACTGCTCTCTGGCCAGGAAGAGGGTGCGAAGTGCTTGGCGTTTCCACACAGCGCACCCGCGGGTGACCAGGCTGGTGGTGGTGACAGCGGGAGCACACGCTCCACGGCTGTGCACCCAGTGGCCGAGCCACAGGCCCCACATGAGGGCCGTGCCCCACCCCAGGGACCTCCCCTCACTCCCAGGTGACGCGGGTCGCTGAGGTCCTGCTGATGAGCACAGGGGCCACACTCAGGTGTGCGTGATGTGGGACGAGGCCTCAGGAAGTGGAAGGCTCCTCGCAGCACCACTCCCACAGGGCTCCCACCGAGGGCTGTCCCCTGGGCCACCGCCGACCAAAACTCCCGAGGCTCTTCCATGGCGACCGCCCTGAACCGCAAGTGCCCCGCCGGCCGCCCGTGGGCACTCACACCACGCAGGCGTAGCGGTCCTCTCTGGCGGCGATGTGCAGCGGCGAGTCCCCATGGATGTTCACGGCATGCAGGTCGCACCTGGCGGCCAGCAGGATCTCGGCGATGTCCACGCAGCCTGAGAAGGCTGCCCAGTGGAGACAGATGTTCTCCTCCTGCGGGGGCGGGCATGAGGCTGGGGGCGGGGCCCAGAGGTGGCCCTGCTTTGCCATTTGCTTTCCCCTCTATCCCCCGGCCGCAGACCAGCAGAGACACACGTGCCACATGTGTAGGGGCTTCTATCTACTGTTAACAATCCCATTCTCTGTGGAACGGCCCTGACAACCACAGGACAAGGTAACACCTGCGTAACTCTCAAAAAAAACCAGACAACTCTGCCTCAGTGGAGTTTTGCTTCATAGAAGCCTCTGTAGAATAAAAACTTCAAGTACAGGAGAAACCGGAAGGCTGGCTATGCAGAGACGCGCTCTGTGGCTGTTACAAGGTGTCGCCAGGAAAGGCACGAGAGCAACAGGGGGGGCGGGGGGGGGCGGGCACACACGGGAAGGCGCCCAACCTCGCCGTGGCTCCGAGGGGACGCAACCCCTCTCCCGATGCCAGGAGTGCGGTGACCGGCGCAGCTGACCTGGCAGCTGTCCCCGCCAACCCCATCATGCGGCAGGGCCCCCCACACTGGCTGAGCTCCCCCGCGTCTCCCTCGGAACACCAGGCCGGTGGATGCCACAGAGCCCGTCTGTGAACAACCAGCTCCCCTGCAGGCGGGACCACCCACCCGAGGCACAAACTACAGTCCACCAAGCACTGTCTGCTCTGTCTGCCCCTCAGGAACCGCGGCGAGAGTCCCAGCATCCTGGACTCGTGGGTCCCAGTTCCTGCTGTGCCAACTGGGGGTGCGCCCTTTGCACACCCAGGCAGGCGCCCAGCACCTCTCCACACGGGGCTCTCTGCCCCCTCTCCCACTCCGTGTTAAGTGCGCTCCCCACCCTCAGCCCAGGGAGCTTCCTTCGGGCAGACACAGCAGGGCAGGGACGGGCAGGGCAGTGTCCTCACCCTCACCAGCAGGGCCGCCTGGGCCTCTGAGGCCCTGCTCTGTTGCACCCAGAGCTCCGGGGCCGCCTAGCGGGCTAGCGGGGTGTGCTCTGAAAGCCAGGTCCTGCCTGAGCTTCCTTTCCTGGACACCGCCCTCAGCCCTGTTCTCCCTGATCTTGCCTCTGGCTTCTGTCGTCCTCACGTCTGCGGGCTCCTGAGCAAAGTGCGGTTTCCCTCAGGGCCCCTTCCCCTTCTTCCCACCAGGACAGTGTACGACTTCATGAGCAAGCCCCCGCCTCCCGGGGGCCACTGTGGCAGCCGGCTACACACCACACAGCAGTACGCTGGCACCTCCGCTGCCAGCCAAGATGGACAGGAGGCACCAGCCGGGTTACCTCCCAGCCGAGAGGACCAGCCAAGTGACACCTGGTGGCCAGAGGAAGACAGAGCCTGGGGCTGACCTGCATTTGAGGTCAGCTGGCCACTGACAAAGGAGCCAGGTCATCTCTGGAGAAAGGGCGGTTTCCTGAGTGAAGGTGCTGGGACAGTCACACGCCCACACGACACCTGAGAGCACGGAGACGACTCAGGCAGGTCTGTGGGGTGCAGGGTCAGGAGAGTGACCTCTGGGCCGTGCATCGCCATGTTGGAGCGTCTGCTCCTCACGAGACAGCTGTGGGGGTTTGTGAGGCGCACGCCTGTGCCAGAGAGAATGTGCCGGAACCCACACACGCCCCCGGTGCTCCGGGGAGCCGAGAGATGACGCAGTAAACCTCAACCAGAGGCCAGGGTGGACCCGCGGTGCCAGGCAGGTGCAGAGGCTGGGCTGGCGACGCAGGGAGCAGCCGGCCTGGACGGCAGTTTCCCAGGAAAGCTGACACACACCTGTCCTGGCCTTGGACTCTGCGCTGCGACCCAAGAGAGACCACCCACGCCGCACGGAGTCCCGGCCGAGGCAGTCCCGCAGGCTCACAGGCCCACCAGCGGAGACGAGAGGCTCGGATGCCCTAAGTCTGGGCCCACGTCTGCGAACACGTCCACCTGGTGGTGGGGGGAACCTTCTGCGAGGAAGTGAGGGTCACCGCCGGTGGGGGGGTGGGGGGCGGGGGCTTCCCCAGCAGTACACTTCAAACCGTGCTGTCGGCCAACAAGACGCAGAGAACGCTGTGAGGCGGAGCTGTCTCGTTGTGTAAAAGTGACGCACGATCTAATAGATGTTTCTGAGGCGTTGGAGCCCCTGCCCCCACTGGCCCTGCGGCTGACAGCAAGGGACGTGGAGGCCCACACTGCCCCCCCTTCCCCGCCTCCTGGTGAGCGGCCGTCTGTCTGGCCCTCAGTCTCGGCTGTGACTCTCCGAGCCGCTTCAGGGAGGCCAATGACAGGGAGGCAGGGGCTAGTGCCTCTCTGCGTGGCCACCGCGTCCTTCCCACTGACCCTCAACCTAACTCCCCTGCAGCGTCTCAGCCTGCAGCCCCTCTCAGGACCCTGCTACAGCCCCCAGGCCCTCGGGGCCTGGCTGCGAACTCACAGTGGGCTCATGTCAGCCCGGCCTGCACTCGTCCTGCCATCGTTAGAGGGGCTGTGGTCGGACGGCCCACGGAGGCAGCTCTGTGAGGGTGGACAAGGCCACAGTGCTCCTGCCTGTCCTGGAAGCTCCCGCCCTCTGTGGGGACAGTCCCAGACTCCCCTGCCCCTCCCCCCAGCTCGGCGGCCCCTAAAGTCCTCCTAGGAAACGAACCTGACCAGCGCTGAGCACATGGCCTCAGCCGCCCAGCCCCCAACTGCCCTGGTGACAGTGCCACAGGGGGGCTGCCACCTTGGCTGCAGCCCCTTTCCCGGGCAGATGCACCTGGCCTGCCGGCCGACTGTGATCAGGTCACTGGCCTCAGATCAGCCAGAAACCCCGGCCCAGCCTCTGCCTGCTCCTCCCCCAGGGGGCAGTTGAGAGGAACCAACATCACACCACCACCGAGCCAGGCATGGGCGGGGCCCCGACCCCCCAGGTCCTGGTCACTGACGGGAGCTGGTGACAGGGCTGCACTCGGACGTGCCCCCGAGGCTACAGCCAGCAACTGGCTGACACAAAATCGCACCACGGAACCAAGGGCCACGCAGGGCTGGCCGGAGCCCCACACCGGACACTCACGTTGTCCCGGATGTTGATGTCGGAGCCCTTGGACAGCAGCAGCTTCACCAGGTCCACGTGCTTGTACTCGGTGGCCCAGATCATGGGCGTCCAGCCACCATCATCCTGGTTTCGAGAGCAAGAACTAGAAACCCATCCAGCTCTCAGAAGTAATGGTGAGCACAGGCGCTATTGGCCCTGTGCAGTGGCCGGTGGCACAGCCAGGCCAGACCCTCGGACCCTGGGGTCTGGCTGGGGGAGGTGCTGCAGGCACAGGGGCTGCTGACCCCTCAGTGGCCGTGACAGGAGCTCTGAGCACCAGCCACACGCTACTTGTGGACACACATCCAGGCACAGAGGACACAGAACTTGGCCAGCTCCCTCTTGGGGTGATGGTGGCACCAACCAGCTGGCACCTGCGGCTCCGCCCCTCAGGGCCCGGGACACGCTGCTCACACCCGAGAAGGGCAGGTGTGCAGCAGGCGAGGGCCGCCCCCCTCACCGAGCAACTCTGCACCCCCAGCGCCCCAGCTCCCAGCGACTCCCTGCAGGTCGACTGCGGACACTGCCAGGTGCTGAGGACGCGGTGGAGAGGACACAAGCCTCCTGGAGCCACCCAGCACCGTCGGTGGCAAACGGAAAAGTAAACTGGACGGGGTGCCCAGGCAGAGTGGAGGAGGTGGGCCCAGCCCTGTCAAGGTGGAGGCGAAGCACACGCCACACCAAGGGCACTAGGCTGGCAGCAAGAAAGGACGGTGGGGCGGCCTGCAGAGGGGCCCCAGGAGTGGGCAGGGAGCCCTCCGTGGTGTCGGGCACCGCCCAGCACAACACGCGGCACCGAGGGACGCCGACTTCAAGGCTCGGCAAGTCGGGTGATAGCACAAGTGGGAGGAGGCGGGAGCAGATCGGGCCGGTGCTGGAGGGGAGACGCACCAGGAACCGAGGGCCAGCTTGGGGGCGGGGGCATCTCAGCGCAGACACCACCGAGCTCCGAGGCTGCAGTGCAGAGGAGGAGTGTGCAGAGCAGAGCAGAGCAGCTTCGAGTGGGCGGGGGAGGGGGAGCCCTGGGGGCACAGGGAGGGGCGGGGCCTGGCAAGTGAAGGGTGGGGCTTCACCTGGCAGTTGACGTCCATCTGTCCGTTTGAGAGCAGGTACTGCACCACGTCGTAGTGGCCCTTCTTGGCGGCCAGGTGCAAACAGGTGGAGCCCTCCGCATCCTGAAACAGAAAGACCATCAGGTCCCCAGACTCATGGGACTCGTGGTGTCAGGCCAGCATCACAGCCACAAGGGCGGGGCCTTTGGAACGTGGGACCTGCGCAGAGAGGGTGCAGGCCTTTCCCAAGGTCCCATGGCAGGGGTCCAAGCCCTGTCTGCCAGGTCCTGACCCCGACTCCTGATACTGATGGGTCAGGGCCTCAGGTGACCAGGGGTCCCCTGATCAGGGCACACCTGCAGATGCACCTGAGGGCCATCACTGCTCTCTGACCCACAGTCCCAATGGGCTGCAGGACATGGCCAGCATGCCTGGCCTGTCCCTCCGCAGGCCACACCAGCAGGACCTCAGGATGGTCCCAGGCCTTCCACCACACGCACACGCCAGGGCCACAGCTGCCCTCTGGGAGGGAGGGTCCCTGGGCTCGTTTGCTGCCGTGCAGATGACCCAGGCACCGGCGCCCATGCAGCCAGGCCTGGCCTCGTCCCACCTCCTGCGGCTACAGACACGGCTCCCATCAGCCTCCACCGCCACTTCCTCAGGAGGCCGGAAGTGCCCCATTAACTGAACTGTCTCAAGGCGAATAAAAGCCACCCACCCAGGGTCTCTGTCAGACCCAGATGCTCTGGGAGGGTCTACGGGGCCTAGCGGCCACCGCCTTCTCCAGAGGACGCTGCTGCTGCGCTTGCGCAGTCCTGTCTTCACCGCCCATGTCTCTCGAGGCCGTCTCTCCCGAGCACGCCTCCAGCGCGGTCCTGGGTGTGAGCACCCACCACCAAGGGTGCATTCCTGGGGGGGACACGCCCCGGGGAGCAAGACTGCAGACATCCCAAGCTGGGACGAGGCCGGAGCAGGGGCCGAGCCCCGGGCAGTAGCGTCCAGTTGGCACACGGCGATGGCTCACTGGGAGCAGAACGAAGCTGGGGCACCCCAGCCGAGCGACCACCAGAGAGAGAGGCGTAGGCACGGGAGCCCGCCTTCACCCACGGGCAGTACGGGATCCCCCCACCTACCACCTCCGGGAACAGCCCAGGGCCCAGCCCCACTGCATCACCCCTTCACCACCCGAGTCCACGAATGGCGGTTCATCCTCTGCCTCTCCCGAGACTCATCTTTGCAGAAAACAGGCAGCACGGGGTCACTTATTCCCACTGAGGCAGACACTCCTGGCCAGAACACCATTTTCCCAGCTCCACCACCTGAGGCCACACTGACCACTGCACACTCCCCTGCTCCCGGGGGCAGGAGTGGCGGTGGACATCCACACGCCCAGGAGTGCAGTTTCGGGGAGAGGGTTTCAGTGCAGTCGCAGCCAAGCCTTGGGTGTGCCATGCTGCTCACCCCAAAGAGCAGCCCCAGGGCACTCTGGGACTCGATGCTACCAGACACTCGTGCGTGGCGCTCACACAGCGGGGTGGCCACTGTTCTCTCTTCCGGGAGGTGTGTGCGTGCCCTCTTCCCCACTTTTTCTTTGGATGCTTTTGCAGTATCTGTAGGAGATCCTTACAGATACTTCTGGGTATCAATCCTTCGCCAAGGTGACAAACTCTCCTCTCAGGTTTGTAGCCTTTCCTGTACTTTACGATGTCTCTTCTCGAACAGAAGTTCTGAGAATGCACTCGATCCAATCGGTCATTCTTGTCCTTCTTTGGGTCTTGTTGAAGAAGCTTTCTCTATGCTGGGGTCACGAGATAACCCATCTTCCTCTCCACTTGTAACCGGTTTGCAGCCTGGCCTCACACCCACCACGCGCACTTCTGCTTCCTGCTCTTGACCTGCTCAGACTCCTGGACTCCTGCCTTCAGGGGGACCACTGACCAACTCCCACCGTTCGGTTTGAACCTGTCACCTTGCAACCTCCCGTCTGTTTTCATTCATTTTTTCCTGCCTTTGGTCAGATGAACATTTTTCAGCGTTCCGTTTTATTTCCTTTACTAGTTTAAAAAATTTCCTCAAAGCTGATCTCTTCTACACCATTTTCTTAGTACTTTCTCTGGGGATTACAACATCCGATCTCTATCAGTCTCCTTAGATGAGTATGTATCGCCTTTCACGACAGAGATCAGACTGCCTGACAGCGGTCTGGTTCCATTCACTGCTGCCCCTCTGTACACTGTCACACATGCTTGACCTTGAACAACACAGGTTTGAAAAGCATGGGTCCACTTATACACAGATTTTAAAACACAAATATACGGACTTGGCTGGTGTGGCTCAGTGGATTGAGTGCCAGCCTGAGAACTAAAGGGTCACCAGTTCGATTCCCAGTCCTGGGTTGCAGGCCAGGTCCCCAGTAGGAGGCATGCGAGAAGCAACCACATAGTGAAGTTTCTCTTGCTCCCTTCCCCTCTCTAAAAAGAAACAAATGAAACCTTAATAAAATCGGTGCACAGTTGGCCCTCCCATTCCCCAGATTTCGCATCTACGAGTTCAATGCCAGGTCAACAACAGTGTGTTTGGTGGCGACTGGGCAGCTGTGAGTGTGGAGGGCCACAGCCTGCTCTGTTCCCAGCCACCGGACATGTAAGGGAGCTGAGCAACCATGGACTTTGGTATCAGCAGGGTGTCCTGGCATTAGTTCCCCCCCGCCACAGCGAGGGGCCCTTAACTCGGGGAAGCGGAAGGCGCATGTGGGTTCTCAACTGGGCAGAAGTCGGCACCTCCAAGCCCCACGTTGTTGAAAGGTCACCTGTATTTCACTTCCAAATTTCTGTAAATGCCACGCCACGCTATATATAACCTCATTTGCACTTTAAACAGCCTTTTGTCTTTTAAGAAATTGAAAGAACATAGATGTCTTTCTCATTCACCACTTCTGGGACTTTTCCCCAGGGCTGGGCTTTCCTCGTAACCTAACCCTGCTGACGAATCCCCTGAACCCCGCCCTCCGGCCAGCACCCCCGGAGGGTCTTTCCCTGGATGCAGCGACAGGGGGAGAACACGGGGACTCTTCCTAGTGTCGGCCTGGAGGCAGCCTGCTGGTTTGTGCAGCTCCTTTAATGTTTTCACTCCATCTCTGGCTTTGACCGTCCAGCCCAGATGCAGTGAGTCGTGGCAATGCCTGTACTTACCCAGCGTGAGATCGACCGAGTGCCTTAGTCCTGCAGGTTTTCATTAAATCTGGGCAATGTACAACCATTTTCCTGCAATGTGGTTACTTTTCTACCTGGCTTTCTCTCCTCTTTCAGGGACTTAAATGACAGCTAGCTGGTCTGACATCATTTACACTGTTTTCAGATGGGTCGTTCCTGTGACCCTCCGCCATCAGGCTCACTCAGGAGCCACCCATGCCAGAGACCTGCGGCCGTCCTCTGTGCAGCTGGTTCCGACTGCCACTGTGAGGATGGTTCAGGGGGACGTGGCTGGGGTGGTGGCCCCTGTGCAGGAGCCAGGAAACCGTCCCCTGGTGGAGCTCACCGGCACCACAATAGATGGGACTGGTAACAGCTACCAGACAGTCACACAGACATTTGCAGAAAAAGGAAAGGTCTCCAGATCTCGGCACCACCAAACCCGAACCACAGGACTGCACGTGAGGTGGAGAAACATCCTGACGAAAGGGAGCAGCTGTGTGCAGAACCTGATCGCTGGACCAGAAGCAAATTACAACAGTAAGTAACCAGCCCCTGCTGGTGAGGCTCAGTGGACTGAGCGCCAGTCTGTAGATCAGGGGTTGCTGGTTCGACTCCCAGTCCGGGCACAAGCCTGGGCGGCAGGCTGGGTCCCTGGTAGCATGTGTGCAAGAGGCAACCACACCTGGACATTCCTCTCCCTCTTCCTTCCTCCCTCCCCTTCTCTCTAAAAACAAATAAGTAAAACCCTTAAACAAAATAGTAAGTAAAACTGCCAAATGTGTATGGTGAACCGTGAACATTTCCCTATAGACGTGCAGCTGCTGCCGTTGGCAAGAGCAGGGGACCAGAGGTCAGACGGCCCCCGCGCAGACCCGGGGGGCCCGGGGCCTGAAGCAACGGCACGCTTGCACCCAGCTGCCAGCAGCCGGACCGTCCCGAGGAGGCGACCACGCGCGGGACCCAGCTGGGGGAGCATCTGCGGTAGCACGCACGGGACGAAGCTGACGCAGTCACATCAGGAAACACCATGTGGCCACGTGAAACAACATTACAGAATCCTTAGAGACAGGAAAATGGATGTAATTTGATGGGAAAGAGGAAATGAAGAATCAGTATGGACACTAGGAGCACTTTCACCAGCAAATGCGTGTGTCAAATGAAAGGTCACGACATCTTCCTGCCCACGTGCCTGTGCAACACAGAACCTGCCACTCTGACCACGTGAGATGCAGACTTGGTGGCCTCAACCACACTGCAGCGCTGGGCAGCCACCACTGTGATCTGCTCCTGAAGCTTCTTCGTCACCCCAAATGCACACTCAGTGCCCATCAGCAATGACACCGCCAGACCCCAAACCCCTGACCTACTTCCGTCTCTCCACCTGCGGGTCCCACGTCTGTCCCAGAAGGAGGCACACAGCCCTTGTCCTTTTGTGCCTGGCACAACGTCCTTAAGGACCCCAGGGCTGCAGTGGGTGTCAGAATGCCCCGTTCCGCAAGGTGGAACGACGTGCCACTGTGTGGATGCCTCCAGCTCACCTGTCACCCACAGATGGCCCCCGAGGCTTCTGCGGCTGTCTGGGCTGCCATGAGCGCTGCTGCCGTGAGCAGGGTGAGCAAGTGTCTGCTCCGGCCCCCACTTTGCTTTCTCAGTGTGCGCCGGGGGTGAGGGCCATGGAGACTCTATGTGTAACTTCACCCTTGTGGGTGGGTGTCCAGTGGAAGGCCGGCCCTGTCCCCGAGGAGTGGTCATCGATGTGCTCCAGGTCTGTTCCGCTCGCCGTCCCACTCCGGGGCCCGCAGGTCTGACCTTCCCCGGCACCTTCGTCGTGCGGCTTTGCAGCGAGTCTGCAAACCAGGCGGTCTGCGTCCTCGGCTCCGTTCTGCCTCAGGGTCATCTGGGCCGTGCAGGGGCCCCCAGACCCACCTGGATCTCAGGAGGTGCACTGCCGCGTCTGGGAGAGACTCGGTAGGGCGCTGACCCACGGCGCTGACCCTGCAGGTCGCTCTGGGTGGTCCTTCCGCCTCAGCAGCACCGTGTCTCCCGACCCTCCTGCGCCTTCCATTCCCTTCAGTGCATTTTGCAGCGTTCAGCGTGCCTTCCACCTCCTTGGTCGAGTTTATTCCTAAGTGCATCGTTTCTTTTGATGTTATTGTAAACTGAATTGTTTACCTAACTTCCTGATGGCCCGCCAACAAGTGTGAAGAACACAGCTGACAATTCTGTACCAGTGTCCTGCTGCCCACATCTCCTGAATGCAGTCCTCAGCTCCACAGTCCCAACCGTCTTTCTGTGGGCTCCTCGGGGTTTTCTATACACAAGATCAAGTGATCTGTGAACAGAGCTCATTCTGCTTCTTCCTTTCTGAACGGGATGCCCCTTCCCTTTCACCCGAACTGCACCAGGAAACCCCAGGGCAGGAGCGTGTCGGACGGAGGAACCCCCAACACGGCAGGCCCAGAGCACACTGCACTATCCGCAAGCGCCCGAGCTCGCTGAGCCACCTGTTCCTGGAAACTGGTAGATGGCCAGCGGCTACCACTCCTGAAGATGCCCCACAGGGCACCGGCCCTGCCGCTTTGTCTGAGGACAGGTGGGCAGAGCAGGAGGGTGAGCAACGCACTCACCTTCGGGTCCACAAGGGCCCCGGCCTTGATGAGGTATTTCACAGCATCCAAGTGGTTGTTCTCTGCCGCCTCCATCAGTGGGGTCCGCTGGTCCTCTGAGCAGGTGTCGATATTCGCTCCTGCCTGGTGAGACAGGGACAGTCGGTGTGTGGGCAGCTGCCTCTGCAGCCACAGCCTGGTGAGGACCTAGTGACTCACATGGTCCAGACATGTAAAAGCAGAAAGGCCTCACAGGCACCCTGGTGACGTCAGAGCTTTAGTTCGAGAACAGCAGTTTCATTTCTAAATTAATTTGGTAGAAAATATTCACAGAACATGAATAGCAACACCGTTAGAAATGACAACCAGCCAGGAAAGGGTGCAGAGGGTCGCCCAGCAGCGGCAGGCGGGAGGCCCCAGGACGCTGTGGCCAGACAAGCAGGACACCAGGCTGTGCCCTGGCACACCGGCCACCTTCCGGCGGGGCAAGCACTGGCAAAGGGCCACGCAGGCCAGTATGCGCTGCTGGGTCTGTCCGTGGCCCGGGGAGCCCCTAACCTGCCCCTGGTCCCAGGCTCCAAGCCAATCAGCAGTTTGGCAGCTAAAAGCTTCTCCCCGCAGGGGGACAAACTGTCAAACTTCTTAAACTGACAGACAGAGGATAATATTTAATTTTAAAACAAATATTTACCATGAAACAGGCTGAAGTAAGTATTGTTTCTACTTTCAGCAATTAAAAACCAAAACAGACCGGGTGGTCCAGGGACTCTGAAGGTGACTCGGCTATGTGCAGAGTTGCAGCCCCCACCTCACTTGTTCCAGAGCCGGGGTCAGGGGGTCAGAGGCTGGAGCCATGAAAGGGACATGGAGGCAGCGGGTACAAGGCTGATTTCTAAGACACAGGAGTTCAAAGCCAAGGACGGACGGCCCCATCTGAGGGCAAAGTCGAGCCAAAATTCTACAGCATCTAATTGTCACAAATAAACTCTAAAACCTGCCCAAGGCAAGGTGCAGAGTGAGAAGCCCAGGCAGCAGGAGCAAGCCCGGCTGCACAGAGCAAGGCCAGGGCCAGATGCAGCCACCGACGGGGGGCTTGCACTTGGCAGTACTCCTCCATGATACCGAAAATCACAGTGAGAGCACAAGGCTGGCCGGGAGCAGGACCTGAGGCCGCCACGTAGGCTCAAACAGCCCCATGGGACAGGGCCCACTGCACTTCAGCAGGAGCGGGACGGAGACAAAACGGAGCACGCGCTGCTCCTCAGGAGCCACAGCTTGGGGACAGGATGCTTGCTGTGCTCAGCAGACAGGAGCCTGAGAGTGTGAGGGCGCCACCCACCGGGGACCGGGGCGGGCATTCTCAGAGCTGCCTCCGGGCTGTGAGTGTACGGGGTCAGAGCTGGCCCAGGGGAGGACAGCTCCCCAAAAGCTGAACCTCCCAAAACCACACTCTTGGGTTCCAGACCAAACCCGTCAATCTCTTTCCTTGGGAACCTGAGAGGAGCTGCTCAGGTTCTGTGGGGAGGAAAAACACACAGAACACAGGCCCCCAAACTCAGGGGTCTGAGAGTGCCCGGCGGAGTGTGATGGGAGCGGGGCTGCAGCCCCGCCGGCACAGAGACGGGCGGGACTCTCCAAATCGGACGACACTTAGTCTTCAAGGTTCAAGACTCAGAAGAGGTTGTGAAGCGGAACAGAGGCCCTGTGTCCCTTCACCCACTGCCCTGTGACAGTGTCTCAGGCACAGCCAGGAGAAGCGGGGAAAGAACGGAGAGGGGTCGAACCGCTGCCTGCCCCGGCTGCCTGGGGCTCGACTGGAGACACAAAACTCGCAGTGACTCGCTTGGCATCAAGCTGAAAGGCAGACAAGGCTGAGCCACAGTGTTTGGGGACATCTGTCTGGCAGGAAAATAACCAGAACTTGGAGCCGGGACTGTCACAGCCAAGCCTGGGGCACTGCCACCTTGGGGGAGACAGGACGTCTCTAGGGAGCAAGCAGCTCTGCCTGGAAGTGGCGGTCAGATGGGCTACTTCCTGACTGCGTCCTGACCACACTCGAGTATTCAGGAAAACAGCCGGCGGGAACACAGGCCTTTTCAAAGGACAGACACTCGGACTAACCTCTCGAAGGGCAAATGGAAGTGGAAGACGGGACGCTCCCCATAAGCAGTGACACAAGGCCACCAGCCAGCAGGGTCCCAAACCCAGGAACGGAGTCCCCCGACAGCCTCCGCCTGGCCACCACACCCCGCACCCTCTGCCTCACCCCACAGTGCCCAGGACCTGCAGACACAAGAGCACAGGCTTCCCCGCCCCGCTACTCCATGACTACCACCCCTGCGGACATCTCCCAACACCCGCCTCGGGTCCACGTTGAAGACCCCTCACCCCGCTGGCCCGTCGCCGCCCAGAGCCTGGGCGATGCCCGTGGGCGCCCCAGCTCCTGTCGCCAAACCCTCTGTGGCTCTCCCAGGGACGGGGGCCTGCAGGCCTCAGGGCCCCAGGTCAAGGCAGCACACCCTCAGCTCCCAACCCCACCTCAGGGACCCATCAAATGTCACTTGACAGCTCCTGCTACTGAGACCACTGGGGACAAGGAAAAAAAAAAGAACTTCCGAGCGAATGGAAAGAAAGGATGTGACACAATTAAAACAAAAGTCACGTCCAAACAAGGCAAGACAGGAAACTCAGGAAAAATAATTTGTTTCAGAAACTTGGGGATCAAAAGTGTAGGCGCTGGAAATATCTCAGTGTCAGAAGTCACAGCGTCACCTGACTGCAGGCTCCCATTCAGACCCAGCCACACGCTGCCCACACAGCTTCGCCCGCAGCAGAGGCCAGGTGGCCACGACATGCATGTTGTGGGGGCCAGAGTCCTGCCCCCACAGGTGCGTCTGCCAGAAAGCGAGCGGCTCCCACTCCAGGCAGGTGCACTGACCCAGTGCCCGCAGCCACTGTGCCACCCGCACGGGCAGAGTGGAAAGACAGCGGACCCTCCGGGCGCACAGTGACGGGACTCCAGGTGTGCCAGGGGCAGGCCACAGGGCAGGAGTGCAGGTGAGCCCTGCTTTGCAGGCTACCTGAGGCTCCCACGGCGGCCCCACCAGGGACAGCGATGCCATGTCAGGGGCCCAACAGAGCAGCCACCTGCACCACTTACTAGACGGCGACGTGGTGCCCGCCGAGAACCTCCCAGCAGCATAACCTGGTACTTTCCTCGAGACAGAAACAACAACCAACAGGCGTTTGAGGAAAACCTTTAAATGGAACCAAAACGCACAGAGCTGCATACGGCTCCAAAGGAACCGTCAGTCCTGCGGCCAAGAACACGAGGAAGGAGGACAACTGCAGACAGGATGCTCAGAAATGAGCAACCATGGCCCCAGGACGGTGGCACTGACGAGGACCCCCGAGGAGAGTCAGGAACAAGGCCTGGAACATGGACCGGGAGGGCAGAGAGGGGCGCGGCGGGGCCGGTGGGGACCGGAGGACCACTGTCAACCAAGCAGCACCAGAGGATGGGGCTGGGGACAGAAGGAGACACGGCAGAGACGCCAGGTAGGGACCACCCGAGCTGCAGGAGCCTGACGAGGGGACCCTGCACGCATGGGTCCAGGACGCCCCCGAGCAACAGGCAGAGAACACAAGGGCGGGAAGGTGGAACTCGGCACTGTGCTCCAGGAGGAGGCGCCCAGCCCAGGGCTCGGGGAGGGACAGCCCTGGGAGACCAGGGGACAGTGCAGGGGCAGCACAAGCCTGCAGGGAGGGCTCAGCCCGCAGAAACCCAGGACGCACTCGCACAGCCACAGGATGCCTCGGACCACACCCTCAGAGGAGGAGGATGGGTGAAGGAAGCATGTGCTCAGCGCCTGGCCTGGGCCCTCCGCGCCAGGACATCAGTCGACGACCACAGAGACCAAACGAGACTGAAACCACCCCTGAGCGGAGCCGTGGCGGCAGCCTGCTGCTCTGGGGTGCACCGCTCAGGGCAGCCACGAGACCCACCTGGATCAGCATGTGGCAGATGTCCACGTGGCCAGCCTCTGCTGCGGCGTGCAGTGGGGACCGCTTGCTCTGGTGCTCCATCTTGAAGTTGGGGTCAATGCCATCGACTGTGAACAGACGGGTGTTGCTGATTACCTTCAAGCCGGTGCTGCCTCCTGGCACAAAGACGGTCAGGAGGCACCCGGACAACCCGCCATGCCCCAGGGGCCGAACAGCCACAGTGGCTGGGTCTGGAAGGACAGGCCAGGTTCAAAGGGAGCCTCACTCGAGTCTGATGCTGACAGATGGCTACGTTGTCAGAAACTGCCTATCGACACAAACCTGCTCCCTTGGGCCTCCCATCTAACCTGGGCCCCAGTAACTTCTCCTGGGCTCTGTGTGACATCCCCTGGTCCTGGTGACATCCCCCCGACCCTTGAGCTGAGACTCGGTGCACCCCGACAGAGACATGCTGGGTGTGCACAGCTCCCAGTGGCCGGAAGGGGACACTGAGCCAACAGAGCAAAGAGGCAACAGCACAGAGGTGGGAGGAAAATGACTGAAAGTGCCACTTTAGTCAATGCTACATACACGGTTTTTAAAGCAAATTGTTAAGCTTCTTTCCTTATTCTCCAGGAAACGAAGAGATTTTAAGGTCACCCTTTTCAACCCAGAGAAGTCAAGCCCAGAGCCGAGAAGACAGAATCAGATCACTGTCTGTGAGAAGGCCAAAGGCCACACCTGCAGGCACCTCTGCTATGGAGACGGAAGAAAAGCAAAGGCGGAGCAGCTCTGGCTCATGACCCCAGCGGCCCCCAGCAGCCCGCCCTGCACAGTCTTCTCGGTGAGCACGCCCGACCCATCAGAGTGAGGGTCAGAGGCCAGCCCCCTCACATGCACACTGGGCGGGAACAGCGGGCACTGGTGCGGCCCCACTGGGCACGCTGGCTGCACCCGTCAGAGCAGCAGAGGTATCTGCGGCACCGATCCCGTGAGACTGGAAGGCTGCGTGCGGCACCTGCCCGCGCGGACCCTGGCGTGGCCGGCACTCACCCAGCATGAGAAGCACTTTCTGCAGCTCCCCTTGCCTGGCAGAGAAGTACAGCTGCTTCGGGTGGAAGCGGAGCTTCTTGGGTCTGTGGAGAGAGCGCAGGACAGTGTCACCACTGAGCCCCCCACAGCCACGTGCCACGCCTGCCTGCCTGCCTGTGGGCTCCTCCGGGTCTAGGCTCCCACCCACCAGGCTGGAGGCATCTCGCAGTAACAGCAAGGAGAGCAGCCAGCTTCTCCACACAAAGCAGCACAGCGGCTCCTGGGGCCCCACTGCTGCGAGGCCGAGGTCGGCCCAGGTCGGCCCAGGGACGGAATGAACTGCACCTGCCACTGAGACCAGGGCTCCCAACTCGAAGCGAGGCTGAGTGGACTCATGGGCCTGGCACTCAGCTCAGGCTCTCCCAGCATGAACTCCCTGGCACAGCAAGGACTGGGGGCCAGGTGCTGCCCAGGGGTCACAGGGATCAGCTTGCTGAGCTGAGGGCAGCCCCACCACCTAAACTATGTGCTGGCTCCTAAGTCCTAGAGAGCGACCCTTGGCCAAGTCCCCAGCAGACTGTGGGACTCGGAGCGACCTCACATCTGAGGTCAGGGCATGCTGCCCATGGCTCAGTCCTGGCCCCTCAGCCTCAATGACGCAGGGTTCTCGCCACACGAGCCGTGTCTGCACACCGCGGTAGGGCGCGCACAGAATGCCAGGTGCTTTCTCCGGGCCAGTGGTGGAGTGCCCAGCGGCCTGCAGCCAGGAGCACCCTGCGTGTCGGGGGTGGGGAGCACGTGGTTAGAGCAGCCCCAGTGCTGGGCAGACACAGGTGGTCGCAGCCAGCGAGGGGCAGCCCTGAAGCAAGGCAGGCAGGCCTGCGAGCAGCGTGGCAGGGACAGAACAAGCAGCCCAAGGACAGGGCCCAAAACTCAGGAGCCGCCCTCAAAGCAGGGGTGGTGTGATGCCCACCCCTCCCGGCCGGCGGACCTGCTTCCCAGGGGAGGGGGACGCACACTGGCCTGAGGCCTGATGAGCCCGGTGCTCGGCTTCCCCACACCAGGGCCACAGTGTCCCCGGACAAGGATGCTGTTCGCAGGTCAGGGACACCGGGCCTCCTGTGGAGCAGACAGAGGGCTGCCAGGCAGGCCTGAGGGACCAGCAGGTCCGACCTCTGTTGCAGGGACAAGGGCCTGGCTGAGCAGCATCAGCTCTGCAGCCACGTGGTCAGTGCAGCAGGTTGGCAGTGTGCAGCGGGTGTCTGCACGACCCTCACCAAGACAGTCCCTGTTCTGCCTTCAAAGCTGTTACCTTCTGCTCCCCGTGCAGCAGACAGTCACTGGCCATGACTCACTGAAACAGCATAAATCCACATGTGCTATCTCAACAAACAAGCTGATGAGAAAGCTGAACGGTGCTGCAGTGACCTCCCGGGAAGGCCCTCGACCCAGCGTGGGTGCTGACACTGGGGAGGTAGGGCCCTGGCCAGCAGTGAGGCTGTGAAGGCCTGAGAATGCTGCGTGCAGACAGCCCAGTGTGTGTGCTCCACAAGGCAGCAGGCGTGGGGTGTGGGCAAGCTGAGCCGAGGCCCTGAGCACGCCTGACCACGCAGACGATCCTTACTTTTCGGAGTCCAGAGCGATGAGTGCGCTTTCCAAGGTCTCCTTCCCAGGTCCGGACTTGGCCAGCCCAGCGGGCCCCGCAGGGTCGAAGCTCTCGGGTATGGGGGCAGCCATGCTCTGTGGCTTGTCATCCTCGGAGAGCGAGGGGCCGGCAACGCTTTGGGGAGGAGGGAGCACAGGAAATGCTGAGTTGTACAGAGACCAGTGGAATCACAGGATGCCATTTGCTGGGACACCCCTCCCCGCACCCGGAGCACACTGCTCCCCTGGGAGCAAGGATGAGCTCCCAGGCTGAGTCCCAGCTCAGAATCAAGTCTCAGGGAAAAGTCACATCAACAGCAGTGACATCGTTATCAGGGTTTCTAGGCCACGTGTTGCCATTGCTTTTGGGCATGAGTCTCAGGCTGGACCCTTGGAGTCCGCTGGAAAGGGACTCGGAGTGCACCGAACTGACGCTCCGCCCACACTCAGCTCTGCTACGCCTCCCGCTCCAGCCTCCGCCCAGCAGCCCTGGGTGAGGCCTCAAAGTGCTCTCTGTACCCGCGTGACGTCCACAAGGTGCCCCCCGCCTGGCCGCGGACGAGCTTTGCTGCTGGTGGAAAGACTCCTTCCCACTTTGTTTCCTGGCTGGACCCTGCTGGCAGGAGGCACTGCAACCGGCCCCTGGTGTTCCTGTCTCATCTCCGTTTCTCACTGACCCCTCTCGGCTCTGCAAGTCTCCCAGCTGTTTCTACTGAATTCTTCCAGAAAGAAAACCATACGCTTCCAATGGGAACCCTTGTTGCTTAGATTATTCGTGTTCACCTCAGGCCTTTAAAACATAAAGCCGTAACACAGACTGCGGCCGCTGACACTAAAACTCCACAGTGTGTGTGCACACATGCACAGGCATGTACAGGCATGTGCAAATACATGCAGGCTTACTAACATACCCACGTGGGCATACAGGCACGTGCATGCACACATGCTGATATGTATAAGCATGTACATGTGCTTTAGTTGTGCATGGCTATCCACAGGAGGGCTGCTGCCCACAGAGAACACTGGACCTCATGCCAACGTGGACAGTGCGGTATTGCTGCAGAGACATGCGGGCCAGAGAGGGAGGCCCACGCCCTGTGCCAACGGGACTGAGCCCTGGTGTGTCTTCCTGCCAGAGACACGGCGTGTGCTCAGTGGGGGCGTCCAGGGGACGGGGCGGACGCCTACCTGCCTGTGGTGGTGTCGGCCCGGCCCTCCCCCGTGGCATTCTTCTCCTGCCCCGGGGCCAGGGTCATGGTGGAGGTCGTGTCTGCCTTGGCAATCGTCACTTCCTTGGCCTTGGAGGCCTCTTCCCCGCAGTGGGGACAGTAGCTGGCACCACTGACTCGCGAGGCACAGGCCTTATGGAAGCGGTGCGAGACGCTGCTCTCCGGCTGGCACTCCATGAAGCTGCCCTGCAGGTGAGAGGCGAGGGTCCATCTTAGAGTCAGGCTGACAGGCAGGGGGGGAGTGAGTGCGACTGAGCCGCGGGGGGAGCGCAGCACAGCCTTCCCCGAGAACGCCCACATGGCCCGGCGCCCGAAGGTCGAGACCCGGCCCCCGGCTGTCCAAACCTGGGGGGAGACTGCCCATCAGGCTAGGTCCTAGGAAGGACCCGAGGAGGGCAGGTCAGAACATGAATGGCAGGACATGGCGCCAGGAGGAGGCGCTATTGGCAGCAACCCCCATGGCACTTCAGGTGACCCAGGAAAGAGACCTCAGGAAAGGCCTCTCCTTGGCGCAAAGGGGGTGAAATTGAGAAGAAGCCAAAGCTCAATGGACCCACAAAAGCAGCTTCCTGCTTTCTTAGCAGCAGCAGCAGCAGCGGGAGAGGGTGTGGAACCTGCAGCAGCCTGCGGAGGGCAGGGCCCCAGGGTGAGGAGGCTGCACTGCAGGCACAAGGGTGTGCGAAGGAAGCAGCGGACAGAGGCCCGGAAGAAAGAGCAGGTGAAGGTGATGAGGATGGCACAGCGCGCCCTCTGAGACGTGGGCTGCACACGCACCGGCACAGGCAAAGCTGGGGGGGGGGGGGGGGGCCCGGGCCCGGCCCCCGCCAGGTCCCTGTTGCTTCCAGGAGCCCACGGCTCCCAGGCAGGACGGGGGGTGGGGTGGGGTGGGGTGGGGTGGGGTGTGTGTGTGTGCAGACCTCCAGGGTGCCGGGGCCCAGCCAGGGCCCTGTGTGGGCGGCGAGGGCGGAGCGCTTACCGCTGTGCAGAAGTAGCCGCAGCCAGGACAGCACTGGTGCTTCACCATCCGGCCCCGGTGGTCCTCGCACAGGACTAGGAGCGGCGCCTTGCTGGACGGACGCATCAGCTCATGCTTGACCACGCTGTTTGTGCACCGGCCCAGCTGCAATCAGACGACAGCAGGGTCAGCAGTGGGGCTGCCAGGGGCTCAGCAGAGGCGAGTCCAGGGTGGGGTCACATCCCTGTGTGTAGGTAAGGACAAGCATCCCCCAGAACAAAGTGATCTGCGCACACACTGTTAACTTGGCAAAAACGAAGAGAACGCCCCGAGCAAGTCAGGGTCTCGGCTGGGCACAAGTAAACAAATAGAACAAGTAAACAGATGTACACTGGGCAGGACCAGGCTGGGCAGGAACAGTCACAGGCCAGCAGCAGGGAATGCACAGGAGTGTCTGAAACTTCCTGAAGCCCCCAAGTGGTCGGGACAGCCAGAGCAAGCGCCAGACCAAGGGCTGCTGGCCATAGCAGCTGCAGACCACAGGCCCGGATGCAGCGGGGACACGCTGGGAGGCAGCCCAGGCACCTGCCAACGTCAGGATCCTCGGGCCTCAGACAGGACCGACCCCTCCTGCCCAGTGACTGACCAGCTGACACAGGCTCCGCCCCCACCCAGCGCATCTGGACACGAGAGAGTGGGCACGAGGGACAGAGTCCGGGCCACACACCCTGAGCCCCCCCTTCCTTCTCGACAGCTCGCCTTCCCAGCAAAGAGCTGCACGAGGACGCCGAGACAGAAGACAGAGAGCAAAGCGGACACACTGGAATCAGGAGCACCGGGAGGGGCACGCACGCGCCACCTCAAATGTGCCCCAGAGGAATGAACCTCGCGGCAGCTCTGAAATAGGGACCAGAGGCTACAAAGGGAGACGCACCCCAAGGACAAAACAAGCTCCTGGCCCTGGCTGGTGTAGCTCAGTGGATTGAGCATGGGCCTGCGAACCACACGATCACGGTTCGATTCCCAGTCAGGGCACACGCCTGGGTTGCCGGCCAGTTCCCAGCAGGGGATGCTCGAGAGGCAACCATACATTGATATTTCTCTCCCTCTCTCCTTCCCTTCCCCTCTAAAGATAAATAAACTAAAAATCTTCTAAAAACCCTTAAAAACAAACAAACAAGCTCCTGGACTTGGAAACCAGGTAGAAGGAATGAAGGTTTCTGCAGAAGCACTCTTCCAAAGAATGTTATGTTTAATCAGTCTGAAAGATAACAGGATGTTTACAGCAGAAACAGCAGTGACCTACTGTAGGAATTCTAGTGGTTATCAAACTGAACTCCATGTAGGACAGGAGGGGAGGAAGGCTCAGACCACATTGTCATAACACGGCACGTTAAGTGAAATAGAAGCTATATGTTGTAAGCTCAGGGCAACCACTAAACACATCAGCAAAAGGTGTAAATAATAAAGCCAATACTAAAGTGAATGACAGTAATAAAAAACTTCAACGCAGAAGGCCAAAGACGAGGAGAAGACCGGCAGTGGTGTCCGGGCCCCGTGCAGGTGCCTGGGCAGCTGCTGCAGAGCAGGGAGACCTGCTCACAGAGCGCTGTGCACGTGTGGCGCCTGGGACTGCTGGGCAGAGGGGGCGCCGGTCAGACCCAGAGCGCAACAGGGGCCTGCAAGGGCGTCACAGGGACCGTGGGCCTCAGTCGCCAAGATGCAGGGCTGCAAGCACCCTGGGCCTAGGGCTGCGGAGCTGGCGCCGCCGGGAACAGGGCAAAGAGTGGGAATCGGAGCAGCACCAGAGGCGTAGGCCACAGGGCCCTGGCGGGCTGTGGGACGTGCCATCGTGTGCCTGAGCACTACTCACACAACGGTGGTGCCAAGCCTATGGGCTGCCACTGCCTAAGGACGAGACCACGGGACCTGAAGACACAGAGATAACCTGAGGGCATGTCTGTGGCCCCAGAATTTCCTGGAAACCCAGGGACACAGCAAGAGCAAGCAGACAGCAAAGCCGAAACACACAGATGACAAACCCCAGTCACCGCAGCCACATGGGGACAGTGGAGGAACAGAATCCAGAGCCACAAGAGGGGAGGAGGTGGCTGGGGCAGCCTCTCCCAGGCCATCTCGTGCAGGAGGGCACGAGAACAGCCAGGTGGTCCGCGTCCCCGCCAAGTTGATGGGGCTGTGTGGGCCAGCGGAACCCACCCAGCAACCCGCACGGGGCACTGGGGAGGCTGCCAGGAGAGGGAACAGGGGGTGCGGGGCTGGACGGGATGGGGATGCGAGAAAGGAGGAAAGGAGACCAGGCCCAGGAGTTCTCAGTCTCCGGTTTCAGGTTCTCTTCTTCTTAAAACCCTGAGGGTCCTGGCCGAAAAAGCTTTAATCCAAACGGGGCAAATCTATCAATACCTGCCATGCCAGAAACTAAAATTTCTTCAGTTATTAATTTACTTTAAGATAGCAATACACCCCTCATGTGCCAACACAAAAAAGTATTCCAACAAAAAAAAATTTTCCAAAACAAACTTTAAAAAGAGCAGCCTCGTTCTCCGCCACTTGCAGGCTCTGCAACACACAGCATAACAGGTGCTCTGCTCACGCTAACGCAGCCGCATTCTGAGCGCGCCGCGGTGTCTGACACTTTCATGACAAGCCATGCCAAGAGTCACGCAGGTGTCTCCTTGAAGCCCGGCAGCCCTGGGCAGCCCCGGGCAGCCCCGACCGCCGCCTGTGGCTACGGAGCTGCTCCAGCGAGGCCAGCTGCCAGCCTTGGGCCCAGAGTGATCCCGCAACACAACAGAAATGACTGCGCCCCCGAGGCCCGTGGGTCTCCACAGGCACAAAACGCCGCCTGCCCTCTGTGACAGAGCAGCAGGCTCCGAACTCCTGACTGTAAACCCACCAGATCCAGGAAAGATTCCATATGAAGAGGGCCCATGGCCCGTGGGTGGGGCAGTGTGAACAGCAAGAACAAACCACAAAGAACTCAAGTCCATCGAGCAGACTCTCGAGTGTAAGCCCACAGCGAGCTGAAAGGAAGACCTGGGAAGCAAGGGGCTCAGCCCTCATCCTGGAGCTGGGACGCTGGGGGTGAGACACTAAGCGAGGGAACGAGGGTCCGTGCAGACCCGCGCCAGCTAGTGAAAGCAGCAAGTGGGCGAGTGGCGACCCCACAGCCCCCAGTGAACGGACATGCATGTCAGCCGGACAGTACAGCCTGTCCTGGACCAGCGGCCCCGGCGGTCCTGCAAAGGAAGCGTGCGGAGCCAAGTGCTGGGTCCTGGCTGCACCAAGAGGGAGATGGCGGAGCAGAGTAGCACGCTGAATGGTGCCGGGAGCACAGGACCCCCGGGCTCAAAGGGGCAAAAGGCCCACACTGTCCACAGGCAAGCTGACAGGAAAGGAAAGGGCGTCGTTGTAAACAAAGACCAACGGGTGACAGCATCTGTCCAAGACACCCGGCTGAGGTCAAGAATCCACCAGTGAGCGAAAGCACACACATAAGCGGAACAACAAATCGATGCCCACCCCCCCTTTCCCTCTCTCCCTCCCTCCTCCTGTCCCTAAAAAAAGAGAGATGGGCACCAGTGTCCAGGGCCACACGCACGGATCATGAAACTACTCAGGAAACCAGGGAGACCATGACCAAAGTCAGAGTGCCGGCTCTTCAAGGTCCAGGCTCCAGTCTACAGTGGTCGTGAGCAAGCACCCTTGTTTGTCTCACGTGGTTTTCTGTTTCACATTGTACCAAAAATGTCCATGACGAACTGAACACAGAACAGACCATGAGTTCCCAGGATGTTGAAGGGGTGGGGGTGGGGGGAGAACCAGGAGGCTCAGAAACAGGGAAAGCAAGGAGAGAAGCACCACGGCGGCCCCTCCGAGAGACGTGCCCCTTGGGGCCTGCAGCTCGGCAGACGAGGGCCGATCCTCTGGGCTGGGACCCGCCTGCACTGCACTCTGCGACGTCCAACACAGGGATGGGCTCGGGCAGCAGACTGAGGACATGACTCCGCCCAGAGAAGGCTGAGGTGCTGCTGCAGGAGAGCTCAGAGAGCACCACACTGACCCCGATGCATCCCAGGGCCACTCCTGGTGGGCTACAGAGGCAGCTCTGAAGCTCTGAAGCACGTGGGCACAACCAAATTAAAATAAAGCTGAAACGGCGAGGGCCCGAATGCCATCAGGACTCCAGACCAATTGCTCAGACCCCAGGAACCAGGCGCACGACCTAAGGGCAAAGAACGCCATTGACCCCAGGGTCCGGGAATGTGTCCCGTTCACCCAGGGCCTCCACCGGTCCAGCAGCAAGGACCAGGGAGTTTGTGGGTTGAAGAGGCAAAAGCTCAAGGCACACCCAACAAAGACCATGAGAGGAGCTCCAAGGACAGACTGAGATGGCCGACCTCCGTGCCCGCGTCTGACCGGGGATGAGGCGATGCCACAGGAAACCGCCACTGTCTCTGCCCCGTGAGAAACGTCCTGTTTAGAGACCTTCGGGGACATACTGAGCCAAATGGGGTCTGTGGTAAAACGCCAGCTGGAGGCCAGGACGGCAGCAGAGGGAGGGACAAGTGCCGGCAGTGGTGAGGGCAAAGGCAGGGGATGGGGTCAGAGGGGCGAGCGCCCATTGTCCTTGGGGAAGGCCCTCTGAGAAGTGGACAACGAGGAACATGGGCAACCAGCCTTGGTGCCTCGGGCTCGGCCCCACCGCTCGCCCGTCCACATCTGTGTCTGTGGTGAGGTAGGACCCTCGGAGGCACGGTGACCCAGACACCACCCTCAAGGCCGTCTGCACCCACGCTCCACTGGCACCTGCCCACCCCAACCCTCTCACCTGGACGTCCCTGCTGTCTGTCAGGCCTGCACTCACACGCTGGGGCCCAGCCCTGCTGAACGGCAGAGATGCTCACCTCGTGGTCCACACTCTCCGTGGCCATGCATTGGTTGTTGGCCAGCGTGGTGATCTCTCGGCTTTTCGGGGTTTCCATCCGGCAGCTGCACAGGGGCACTTCCTGAAGGCCATCCGTCTCCCCTGCGTCGGGACCGCTGACCAGCCCTGGGTGGTCAGACAGACAGACGGGCGTGTTGGCACCAGTGGGAGGCGTGCCTGGCTCTCACTCCACCTGGCGCCACGCACTCCCCACCTCCAGGGGCAGGAAACACGAGCGGCAAGGCGGCCATGCTGGCACACAGCACCGTGAGGCCCTCCCAGGCCGTACCACCGCCTGGCCCCCGAGAACGACCCATGTGCCCTGTTCTCATAGCCGGGAACCAAATGCAGAGAGAGGTGGCACCTGCACTGGCTGCGCCCACCTGTGGGCTCTCACCCTAGGGTCCCTCACCTGCTTTTAAGAGTTTCAGCCACAGAAACAAACACCCAATTCCACTGGGGAGCATGTGGTAACAGCCTCCTTCCTACTGGGTACCTCCTGTCCCACAGCAGTCAGGGCGCAGTCACCAGCAGGAAGGGGATGTAGGGAAAACCGGGATCGAGCTAGAAACGTTCAGGAGAAGCTGGCACTTCCTCGTCCTCCCAGGCCCACTGCACTGCAAGGGGAGGGGGCCGCAGCCCAGACCACAGCACGGCCTGCGAGGCCGTCAAGCCAGGTGGACCAGACCGCAGCAGCCGGGGTTGCTGCTCCCCGAGGTGGACACGCTCCGTGCGCTCCTCCCCCCCAGACAGACGAGGGAGGGACGCCAGAAGGCCTGTGCTGCCCACGATGCACACTGGCCGGCCCGCCCAGCAACAAGGTTGTGTCCTCACAGGGGTGCGGGCGACACCGACACCTGCCGAGTCTGCCTGTCTGTCTGCCCGGCCGCCCATCAGGATGCCAGTAACCACACCCTCTATCGTGGCCGCCAGGGGGCATCACACCAGCACTGAGGCCGGCGCCCAAAAGCAGAGCGAGATGGTGCCCAGGCGAGTCGCAGCCCAGTGCTCACCTTCTCCTTGTGAAGGCAGCGTCCCCTTGACGCGGAGGTCCAGGGAGTCCAGAGAAACTTCCATGTACCCCACGCTGTCTCCCGGTGCCGCAGGCTCTGCGCTTCCCAATGACGACATGTATGCGTCGGAACCTGTGTCAAAGGCACCCTTGTAAACGCCACGCGGCCACCCAGGCCCCAGCCTTGGGGCTGAGTGACCCGACCAACACAGCCAGCAGGGTACCACCGTGTGCAGGCCCCACGGCCCCCACCACGTCGCTGCCTGTGCTCGCTCCGCCCACTCCCACCTCTGCACATAACACGCGTGGCAGGAAAACGAAGGCTCTTGCGTGTCATAACCCCTTCTCTGACACGACGCCAGCGACGGGAAGCGGGTCCAGTGAAGAAGGGCAGGGCGGACACGTGTGCGTGCATGCTCTGTGGGCACCTCTCTCCACAGGAGAGCTGCAGCGGAGGCGCAAAGACCTGCCAGCTCCGGCTCCGATGTGAGCCAGGCTGCCGCGACGGAGGGAACGGGGCCGTGAGTGAAGGGGCCGAGGCGCACGGGCAACTGCACGTCTGCGAGCCCAACACCAGCTCCAGTCTCAGACAGCCCACCTACACGGGCATCCTGCCACCTGGAGACAGCAGCGCCACCCCAATGTCTGTTTGGCACACCACTGTCTTTGTCAGCAACGTGGAAGACCTCTAAACTGATGACGGGAAAGAGCGAGTCCTGCAGCTCTGGGACGCCAAGATGGATGGATGGATGCATGGTGGATGGGTGTCAGCAGGATTGGGAGGATGAAATGTGAACACCCACTCGGTGGGTGATGCAGGAACCACTGGGCGCTCGTCTGCAGGCAGGATGCCAGCTGGACCCCCTCACACCACGGACACACACTCACAGTGGGTCCAAGACCCAAGGGTAGAAGCTGGAAGTGCAACACTCAGGGAAGAAAATGCAAGACACACTCTGTACCCAACAGTCCGTCAAGATCTCTGAGATCACAAACCACGAACGTGGAAAGGAAACAGGCCTAAGTCTACCTGCAGCACGACGACAAGGTGCTGCGTTTACACACACACGCCCGCCAGAGGACTGAGAGGAGGCACACACACCGATTCCAAGCAAACAAAAGATACGCTTTCCAAAAGAAGGGGCAGAAGACCAAACGTGCTCCCCAGTGTCAACAAGGACACGCTCTGCAGCCACCAGCAGTGCCAGAGGGAGCCTGGCCATGGTGGGCCGGCAAGGACAGGGCCTGGTCTCTGTGCTGCGCAGGGAAGAGAAAAGGGCTTCAGTGAACGGTTTCCTAAAAAGTCAGGCACAGAGCACGACTCAGCCACTGCTGTCTAAACACGTGCACACGAGAAGCAAGAACATCCGTCCAACAAAGGCGGCCACGCGACGTGTGCGGCTGCTGCCCCGTGCGCGGCCCCAGACCTTGGAGAGCCCCACCCTCTGCCCACGGGTGAGGGGCACACGCCGTGGACAGCCCCACCCTGGTCTGCACACAGCACGTGGCTGACTCTGCAGCAGTCATTCAAAGCAGCCAGAGAGACAGGCACCTGCCCCACGACCCACTCACACTTCGGCAGTGCTGGCCCACCCACAGAGATGCCTGAGGACGGAGGGCTGGCAGGGCCAGGCCCAGCAGGGGCACGACCGAGAGTGCGGGCAGGTCACACCTCCCAGGCCCTAGGGGCACGCACTGTGTCTGATGACGAACCCTCGGCAGCAGAGCTGCCCCAGGGATGCCCCTGCCGCCGCCTGCCCGCCCCGCCTCTGACGTCTGGAGCAGGGGGTCTGCCCAGGAGGTCAAAAGCCACCCACAGGGCTGAGGCACCCCCCACAGGGCCCTGGGCTCCCATGCAGGTCATGGACTCCCAGCCACACAGGGAAGGTGACACACAAGCCCATCAACTCAACCTCGAACAAGAAAGCCAGCGCATGTGACACATTTGCCACAAGAAAGTCACTTACGGGTTACCTGAGTGTCTCTACCAAAGGGATCTCAAACTTTCCTTTTTTAAAAAAACAAATGACCCTGGCTGGTGTGGCTCAGTAGACTGAATGCTGGCCTGTGACCAAAAGGTCACTGGTTCAATTCCCAGTCAGGGCACATGCCTGGGTTGCAGGCCAGGTCCCCAGTAGGGGGTGTGCAAGAGGTGACCAACCACGCATGGATGTTTCTCTCCCTTTCTCCCTCCCTTCCCCTCCGTCTACAAATAAATAAGTAAATCCTTTTAAAAAACAAAAATAAGTAAAAGCAAAAATAAATCCAGGAGAAACCCTGGAGACCCCCACTCCAGGCTGGCTTTGCCCAGGGTCCGGGACGGACTCGTGTTTACCTAGCGCGCTGCTCGGCCTCCTTTTATTTCTCCGCCTCCTCTTCCTGGCGGGCTTGACCCAGGGGCTGTCGGGCTTGCCTCTCCTCTTGAGAAACTTCTTCCTGATGCTGGACTCTGAGCTCTGGGAACCAAAGGGCAGACAGCAAATGCTGAGCAGGGGCCCCACAGAGCCCGACTGCTCCCATTCTGTTTTCTAGGAAAACGAACTCCTGCCCTACCCTGACTCTTCAACTAGAAGGTCACTCTCCCTTTTAGACATTGCCCTGGGTCCCATTCGCAAAGACACCCAGGCTTTCCCCCAAATGTCACCCTAGGCTCAGGTGTTTTATAGGACAAATAAAGGGCCAGGAGCACTGCCACGGAACACGTGAGTCTTCTGAGTCTGGCACAAAGAGAGCGCACGAGAAAGCCCCACTCGGAGCGCCGCGGCTCTGTGAGGCCCATTTCAGCAGAGGGGCGCAGGCTCTGCCCAAGAGGCGAGGGCCAGCAAGGCCTGTCGCCGAGCGAGGACACGGCGGGTTCCCAGCAGTTGGGGTTTTCTCCAGTGTGTTTCTGAAACCCAGGTGGGGGGCGTCTACCTGCCAGGAGCGACAGACAGACGCACAGCACCAACAGCCGCCCTCTGTAACTGGTCTAACTGAAGGGCCGCAGGCTGCCCGCCTACTGCGGACATCGAGAAGCTGAAAAGAAAGTGTTCACGAGACAGACGGACACACCATGTGCAGCGGCTGGTCTTGTCCCCGACCGCCCCAGTGTGGGCACCCAGGTGGGACCACAGCCCGCCACCCTGTGCCCCCGCTACCTGCCCCACCCTGGACACCCCTTGCAGACAAAGCTGTGCCAAGCACCAACCCCTAAGCTCACTGTCACTCCACCCCGACTGCCTAAGTCCCCATGCACTCCCTCACCTTCCCCCACCACGTGACCGGTTGACACCACTGGCCACGTTTTGTTTCCAAAGAACGTTCTGCAGCCCGAGAGACCCTGAGTTCCCTGACTGCCCTCCCTACAGCTCAGAGGCCCACTCTGGGTCTTGGCCACGGCTCCCAAGCTGGGCCCCCCGACTCCCAGCTCCCCTATCCCTGCCCAGGCCCTGCCTCCATGAAGCTGCCACTTGCCTGCCCACTAGTAGCAGCTGACTGGTCCTGGCTCCCGCCCCTCACTGCCCCGACACCAGCCCGCCGACCGCAAACCTTCTCGCGCAGCCCTTGCAGCCGGCGCCCACCCCAGGGAAACCACCTGCCGTCTGCAGGGCGTCTCTCGGCCCCTTTCCCGGGGCTGGCCCACACCAGCCTGCGTCCTCGAGGCCCTGCCTCCTCCCAGTGCGGTAGCACAGCGACTCCCAACCCACTCGGCCACCAACACGAGTCAGAATGCACTGCTGGTTACCAGGTCAGACTCGTCTCCATCCTCCTCCTCCTCCTCCCCGGTGCCGGCCGACTCCTGCTCCTCTTCCGACTCTCCATCCATCTGACCAGCCGCACGCCAGGCCAAAAAGAGAACAGACACTCATGAGACCCCTCAGCTGCAGCGATCTGATCAAAACACACTTTCGGTACACTGGCCACAAACACTGGAGATTGGGGTGCAGTCTGTGAGGTGACGGAGACCCCCCCCCCCCACTGCAGACCACTCAGTAAGAGGCAAGTGCACCTGACACATGCTGTGTGTGGCAGAGTTTGTGGACTACAAAATAACAAAAGACACATAAAAAGATCTTCAGAGGCCACAAAATAACACAGAATGAACCCCCGCCCCCGCACAGCCCAGCTCAGCCCCAAGGGGCCTTGCAGCCAAGACTGAGCACGAGGCCTACACACACAAGAAATTCTGTCTGCTCAAATGACGGTCACCGTGCAGTTCTGTGCCACGTTCATTAAGAACACGTTTAGGATTTCTTCCCACATCAGAACACCACATACACTGTATTTCCGCTGCTGCACACGCCCCTGCCGCCCACACAGCTAACCCGGCACGCCGACCTGGCTCTGTGGGGCTCACGGCAACTGCATCGGTTCCGAGGGCCCCAGAAGCTCCATGCCAGGCTATGCCCAAGACCAGCCAGGGACCCCTGGGACAAGCCACTGGTGGGCGCCGCCACCTGCACAGGGCGCTCGGGAAGCTCCAAGCACAGTGCTGGCCATGCCCAAAGGCACCGCCAGCCTCCAAGGGTCACACGTCCCAGGGTGAAAAGAGCACCTCCCTCGACACCTCATCAGCCTGGCAGGACCTACCTGCAATCTGAATTTCCACTGGGTTCGGGGTTTCCTACGATCTGTAGAAGCCACACACATGGGACACCAAAGCTTAGCCTGCTGACTGTGCCAACACCGTCTGCATCGAGTCCTACACACTTTGCTTGTGTTTCTCACCACACAGGACTTTGGGGGTTTCCTCTGGACGAGTCACGTGTGTCCATCTTTCCCTTCTTGGTGTCTGAGTCTGTGCCATGCACAAGAGGGCCTCCTCGTTCGACATTGGAAACAGTTTCCGACGTTCCCCACCACCACGCAACACTGTGTTGACACTTCCCGACTGGAATTCACTGCTTTAACCAGCAGCTCTGCTAGAAGTAGCTCACACAGCCCAGACCTGCCTTTTCCAAGCACCAGGTGGGGTGGTCTCCGCCCGTGCAGACGGCAGCCCCCCCCCAGCTCCGGGAGGGAGGCTCCAGGGTTCCATGCCCTCGAGCAGAGTCCACGTCTATTTCTCCCCAAAGATCAGCTGATTATTCCAGCAACAATCACTGAAAAGTCACAATCCCCAGATCCCCACACGAAACCCGTATCACAGCGAACAGCGTCTATCTGTACCGATGGCTAGCTGTGGACACCCCATCCCTCTGCTGTTCTCCAGGCTCACAAGCCCCCCGGCCTGGGCTGGCACTGCTGTCCCCAACACTCCTCTCGCTGTGGACAGTCCCCGTGTCCACTGCCCACAGAGCCCAGAGATGCTGGGGGGACAGTCCTACACCTGTGAGCGACCCGGGGAGGCAGCACTGGTCCTCCCCACTCAGACTCACGGCGGGTCTTCCCACGGACTTGCCTTTTTAACCTTTTGGCAAAGTCTCACAGTTTTTCTCCACAAGCAACAAACGTTTCTTGTTAAATTCATTGCTAAGTAGCTGGCAATGCCAAATAGTTACCAGTCTTTTAACAGTTACAACCATCCGTTGTGATTTCCAGGATGACACTGTGGTTTGCTTCTCAGTCTTGACCTTCCAAAGCCCCACACCAAGGTCTCCACACCGAGACAGCTGCAGAACAGACGCCCCCAATGGATCCTGCTCAGCAAAGTCATGTCCAGTGCCTTCTGAGACCACTGCTATTGCCATCACTCTGCCCCCAATGGGCGTCCCCACCCACACCGGGAAACCGGTGGTTCTGTCTTCGCCACAGGATGGCTGGTTCACCAGCTGGGAGACTTTTTCAGCTGGTTTCCTCGGATTTTCTAGAGGGACAATTCCATTCTCAGTAAACTTCTCCCTTGTCCTTGGAACTGCGGATGCTTCTTTCCAGTCTCACCCCCCCCCCAGACCCCCGTGACCAGCTCAGCAGTGTCTGGGGGGGGAGAAGGCGGCGACCCCCCCTTCACTACTGATGGCAGAAATGCTCTGAGGTGCTCACCATCGGGCACACCCCCGTGGCGGGGCTCTGCTGCCTTCGGGGGCCACTGGGGAGCTGTTCGCGCCGCAGAGACTGAGCGAGGGGACGACATGCAGCCTAGCAGCCCGGCCCCCGGCCGCCGCCGAAATACCTGAGGGGAGGGAGGAAGTGGCTCTGTACGGGCTTCTGGGCGCCCGCACCGCAGGCACAGCAGCTCCACGGGAGGAGGCTCACGCCGAAACCCCACGGGAGCTGGGAAGAGGAGGAACGGCCGACACAGCCAGGACCTGATGCCGAACAGAGAGCTGGAGGGCAAGTCAGCAAGGAGGGTGCCGCCCCGGGTGGACGGAGGCCCAGCCGCTGGGAGGCAGCAGGACTGGCCCTGGTGCCCAGGCCCAGCTACGCCTCAGGCAAGGGAGTGAGAGTGTAGCCCTCCCCAACCCAGCACTCGAAACGCCTGTGACCCCCAGCTGCCTGCTCTGTGACCGGGCCTCGTGACTCGCTTCCAATCTAAATGGCGTGTGCCGGTCACAACAGCGAGAAGGCGAAAGGAGGCGCCAGGCTGGCGCTACGGCAACTACGGCAACTACGGCAACTACGGCAGAGGCGCACTGCCTACAAGTGACCCCCCCCCCACCGCACCCAAGGGCGCGTCGTCACTACCCGGACAGAGAGGGAGGAAAAGAAACACTAATGTGAGAGAGAAACACCAGTCAGGTCACATCTCCTACATGCTCTGACCAGGAATCGAACCCACAACCCAAGCACGTGCCCCGACTGGGAACTGAACCCACAACCCTTTGGTGCACAGGATGCTCCACCTGAGCTGCTGGGCCAGGGCCCCACAAAATAATGTGTGGAAAGGACAGGTAACCAACAGCAGACAGACAGACACATTGCTGAGCCCTGCGGGGGTACTTCACAGAAACAGGCATCCAAACGCTGGTCAGCAGGAGGCAGCGGCGACTCTGGGACTCGGAGAGGTGGGCTGATGGCAGTGCCGACCCCACGGACGGCCAACAGAGACCTCGGCCGGACGCCGTGCGCTGTGCCTCTGCAGCTCACGTGACACGCAGCTGTGCTCACATGTGGGCACAGGACAATCACACGTGCCCACGGCAACACCATCCAACACAGTCCCGACACCACCGACCACGGGACGCACCGTAAGAACACAGCCGCGTTTCTTGTGGTGGTTCTCAGACGTTCTGGCCCCACCACCCTTCATTTCCTTGAAAACCATGGAAGACGACAGAGCACTTCCGTCTACCTGTGTCCTGTCTGGTGACGGTCACTGTCATTCCGGCCAGAGCGCAGCTCCCATGAAGGCAGCAAAGCAGCAACCGCCTCCAGGCAGGCCGCCAGCATTCTACTAGGGTGCTCTGACCCCAGGCCCCAGAGAGGGCCTCAGAGACCCGAGAGGGCTGTGAAAGCCACTGTGCCCGCACCATGAAGATAAACTGACAGTGGGCAGAACTTCCACAGACACAATACTGTGTAAATACACCCCACTTTAAACAATGCCCACGGCAGGATTCCATTTATGCAACAAACACGAGAGCCGACACCCCGTGGAGACTGGGAGGGTGTGAGAGTGGCTATCCTGGTTCAGATGCAGCCAGTGGGGGGCATGTGACTGTGGCGCTCTGACCCCGAGCGAACTGGACCCGGGCGTCCGTGCCATCACGAAGCACTCGCCAAACCCAAGAGCATGTGCTGAGTGGGGCACATGCCTCTGACGCACACCTGTGCTCTCCAGCCCCAAGTCCTGCCAGGGCCCGTCCCCGAGGCCTCTGTGCCGGCTGGGCAGGTCTCCCCGGCAGGGGCTGGCACACTGGCCCACCGCTCCCTGCCCCCGGAGACCGCTCCCACACTGAGCCACGCTTGCCGGTGCCTGCTGTGGCCGACCGCCGCTCTGCCGCCGGGTTCCCACCGACCACTCTGTTATCTTCATTCCACTTTGTGTCTCAATTCCTTTATTAGCTTCACCTTCATTCAACTTTTCCCTTTATCGCACATCTAGTCACCCAGTGTCTGCGTTCTCTCGCAGATGAAGACCTCGATCAAAACAGAGCACCTAGAAACAGACTCACGTCCACATGCCAGGTTGTGTGTGATAAAGGCAGCTTTTTAAAAAACAGAGGGAAATCAGCCAACAAATGCTATTGACATATGTGAGTAACCACTTTCAGAAAAACTTCATGTTCTGCATAAGCTTTGAGATGTCGTTTACGTCCCATAAAATCCACCCATTTTACGTTTCGTCACTAAAAAATCCTCCACGAATCACAGGCGCACAGAACAGAGGAAACGCAGGAAGTGCCACAAAGTGGCCTGTGCCAGTTCACACAGAGCTGCCAGGAAGCAGGGACGCTCTGTCCTGAGGAGAACGGGGGGCCAGGACCCGTGCAGCAGCAGCCCAGCACCCGTGGGGGTGGGGGAGACAGGACACCACCCTTGTAGGCAGGGCTGGAAGACCAGCCACCCCTGGACCCTGGAGCCACCACCCGACCCCAGGTGCACACACAGGGCCCAATGGGGTGCTGTTGGAGACACGCAGCCCAAAGACCAGGATAACACACATCTCGAGGGGGCTCCCAGAACAGCCATTAGCTGTAACAGCCCAGCTTAAAAATGATCGAAGTTCTGCCCTGGCTGGTGTAGCTCAGTGGATTGAGCGCGGGCCTGCGAACCACACGATTGCAGTTCAATTCCCAGTCAGGGCACATGTCTGGGTTGCAGGCCGGTTCCCTGCAGGCCAGTTCCCAGCAGAGGATGCACGAAAGGCAACCATACATTGATGTTTCTCTCCCTCTCTCCTTCCCTTCCCCTCTAAAGATAAATAAATAAAATCTTAAAAAAAAACCTTAAAAAAAAAAAAAGACCAAAGTTCCCTCACGAGCGCTCCGTGGGTCAGCAGAACCGCAGCCATCGACACCACCCCAATCCCCAGCGAGCCACGCCCGCTCCGGCTCTCCCTCAGGCCAGGGACAGCAGACACTTGCCCAGACCTCCGGTCTGCTGGGACACCAGAGCCACCCCGGCCCATGGCTGAGCCCCAGCCCCAGCCGCAGGCAGGCAGAGCCAGCAGGCAGGGGCCACGGTGCCACTGCTGGGACTGAGCCACCACGCTGTCACCCCCTAAGAACGGGTCCTCGGGTGAACACACACAGACACACACCAGGCGTTGAGAGGCTACATGCAACTCGACAGCCCCGACACTCACACACCCCCACCAGGAGGACCGGGGCTCCCACGTCTGCCCCGACCCACGGGCGTGGCCCACAACTCGCAGCCCTCGAGAGCCATCAACCAAACCCTGTTGGTCTATAGCCGAAGAGCTCAAACATTTCTTTCAATAACCATTGTACAAGGAGACAAGCCCTTCTCTGCTTGAGATAAACAATCTGAAGCTTTGAGAAAATAGACAGAGACTCAAGTTGGGCGCAAACAGGGGACACGACAGCCTGGCAGGGCCCGGACTGTCCCCTCTCAGAGCCGAGGCAGGGAGAGGCCCACCTTCTGGGTGCGGTCACTCCCCGACACGCTCTCTTTGGAAGTCCTGCTGTCCTCCAGGGGAAACGCAGCCGCCTGCTCGGACCCCTGGTCCTCGTCCTCGTCCAGCTCCTCGGAGTCGTCCTCCTCCGAGTCCAGCTCCACGCTCTCCCCGTTCACGTGCAGGGCGCCGTCACCCAGGTCCTGCTCACTCTGAAAGGGGCGGGGACGCATCCGTGAAGTGGAGCCTGGGAGCAGGACTGGCTGCTAACCTGCCAGTCGGGGGGTGTCGGGCATGCGGGGTGTGCAGTGAGGGTGTGGGGGGCAAAAGGTGGGCCTCCAACTCGCCCCAGACAGGAGGCACTGCCTGGGGCAGGGGTGCCTCAGAGCCTGGGGCCTCCAGAAGGGACCGAGGTCGTCCAGCACCAGCCGCCTTGCACAAGCCCTCGAGCCACAGCGGGCCTCCCCACGCCCGGGTGGTCAAGGCAACCCCCTTACCTTGGTGCCCACAGTGGAATGAGTTATACTCTGAAACATCTCAATCACCGTCCTCTGTTTTAACACTTTGGTCTTTCTCTTAGGAACCAGGCTATAGGTTCCCATCCTTCGTTTTTTCTTCCGAGACACTGCAGCTGCTAAAACAAAAGGCAAGGAAGCTAAAAAAAAAAAAGTCAAGAGGAGACAAGAAGGGAAAGAAGTGCCATTCAACTGTTTTTCCAAGGCAGGTAACAGCTTACAAGACCCAGCCACCAACATCACCCCCACTCCACAGTGACCACACGGGTAACAGTCCTGCGCTGCTCGGACGGAGCAGAGGGCACGCCACAGGCCTCACAGTGAGTTCACGGGACACGCCAAGTTGTGTGCACGCATCGCTGACCCTGAAAGCCCTGCCCCTGAGCACCAGTGCAGTGGGACAGCCAGGTCCCAGGACGGCAGCCTCAGCTGGTCATGGGGAGAGGGCCAAGGCTGTCCCCACTTCTCACCCAAAGGAGAAAAGACACACATCTGGTGTGTCAGGCGCTGAAGCACAGCCACGCAGCAGGGCCCAGCGACTTTCCTGCCACCCGACTCACTCAGCAGCCCACAGCCTCAGGGGAAGAGGCCCCTGAAGGGACTGTGGACGGCCGCGGGGACGCAGGGGCAAGCGCCGGGGAGCGCAGCGGCAGGAGGCTGAGCGGGGGCCTGACCTTTCTGGATGGTGCAGCGCCAGGATGGCTGGTTTTACACAGTGAGGTTCTCAACAATATTTCATTTCTTAAAAAAAGCCCCAGGGTTTAGAATATTTCTGAAAACCACGGAGAGGGACTCCCTGTGCCAGTTCCACCAGGTGCAGAACTGGGCAGCTGGGAGACGGGCACGGTGGGGGCTGCGGGGGCCAGAGGACAGGGCGCCCCCTGCGGGGCAAGGGGTGGCACGCAGGACACCAGGACAACCGCTGCGTGGCCCTGCCGCGTGCCCCCTGGCAGGGGGCTCAGGCACCTGCCTCATCACAGGGAAGCCTGCCCTGCCCCTCCGAGAGCCGCAGCAGGGACAGGGGTGCGCAGCCTAAGACCTGAGTCCCATAGTCCCAGGGGTAGGGGTGGGGAGGTGCGGCCTGCACTCTGACCCACACGTGAACTCACCCATCCTTCCTGCCTGTGCAGCTGGCCGGAAAAGAACAGAACCTTCTGGGACCATCCCCACAGAGACCTCATCTCGAGCTTCCCGAGAGAGGCAGCCCATGAGGGCAGAGGGGGCCTAAAGCCTAAAGGACACGAGGGACGAATGGAGGTTCTCACAGAGGACGCCGTCCCTGGCAGCCTCTCTGGTGTCCCACACATGGACAGGTCCACAGGGACAGCCCGAAGGCCAGGCGGCCAGGTGGGGGGTCCCTCACCAGGGGACCGCTGCAGACCCAGGGCAGGTGAGCCCTGGGCCTCCCTGGCAGAGACGGCACTGGGGCAGCTGGGCTGGGGGAGCCTCCGACACCAGAGAGCACTGGGCCTTGCACTGGCGTGCTGACCAGCCACGTCCTGCTGACCCCGACCGGCCAGGAGGAGGCAGTAAGGACGCTGGAACTGCCAACCCACAGAGCATGTGGTCTCGGAAAACCCAGAAGAGAAAGACGATACAACCCAAGGCCGAACAGGGAGAAGCCGGAACACCCTGACACCGCCCAGTGGTCGGAGCACAGATGGCTGCGGCTCCGAAGAGCTGGGCCAGGCACCCGGCCTAGCTGTCCCAGACAAGTGATGCTGAGCCCAAATGGCCCAGGAGCTGGGGACAGTGACATAGGCTGACCCTGTCTCCTGCTGCCCCACCCCAACAGGGGAGGGCAGAAGGGCAGGGCCCCTGGCCACGGGGCAATCCTGGGGTCACGTGATGACCCGTCACACTTGAAAATAAGCAGATGGGCCCTGACCACTCATCCCTTGACCAAGCGTGAGGCTGTGGGTTCGATCCCCAGTCCAGGGACATATAGTCTCCAAGAACGGGGGGTGGAGCAGGAGCAGTCCTTCCTCCCCTGGAGCCCTCTGGTCAGTGGAGGGGGACAGAATGAGACCCCTCTGGTCACAGTCAGGTGGGCAGATGTCCTCAGGTGCTGATGCCCCCTGACCCTGGTGGAATGAGAATAGAAACTGCAAGTCCTTCCCAAGACACATACTGGCCACCCTTCAGGAAATGAGCTCTGTGACTGGGGCGGGGGGGTGGGGGGGGACTGTGATAGGACAGTTGCCACACCCCAAGAACCCATGCCCCTCAACCACGTTGCAGGACCTGCGCCTGACCCAGGGGAGAGCAGCACCCCACACAGGAATGCTGCAGTGACTGGAACCCGGGACCCAGGCCACGGCTCTGCTGGAAAGGGTGTTATCAGGCCAAAGCTGCACATGGCACCACAGGAGGTGAACGTCCTTATCTCCAGGGACACTACCCTGTCATTTTTAAGGGACGATGCTGCAGTACTTAGAGGCTACAGGGGATTGAGTCTGAAGCTCCACTCCTGTTCCAGAGACAAAGTGAGGAGGAGATGCACAGCTGTAAGCAGGAGGCAACACGGGGCTTCACGGAGAGACGCACAGCCGGACCCCTGCCTCTGCGCTGAAGGTCTGTACCCCTCACGTGTAGGAAGCAGCTCAGCATCCAGGAGCAGACGCACACCTGCGACCGCCGACCCTCCCCAGGCTGCCTTCCCTGCAGACGGCCCCCAGCAGCCCCAGCACCAGGCTGGCCTGGCTCCTGCCTACACCCAACATGCACAAGGGCCTCGCACGAAGGGCCTCTCTGCACTGAAGGGCGTCCCCTGTCCACGGTTCCATCCTAGAGGCTCTAGAGGACACCCCTGACCCACTCCAGGTGTGCCCGCTGTGGACCAAACCCCCGCTCTGCACAGCCTCCGTGTGCAGGTCTCCCAGTGCACGTGGAGGACTCCCAGCCACGCCTCCTACCCGACCGAGAAACCAGGGAGTAAGAGTCAGTGACGAAAACCACGTCCACACGAGACGGGCAACCAGCAAAGAAGACAACCCAAGTAGGGGAGGGCGCTTAGCTCAGAAGCCCAACCTGGCTCAGCAGGGGTCCAGGTGACTGAGGACCTGCCAGGTCCAGCGCTGCTGACCCAGAGCACGCCTGTGCCTGTCTGTGGTCAGATGAGGCCCTAGCTCAGCAGGGCACATGCGCTCGGTGCCACGGGGCTCTCACCTGTCTGTGACTTGGTGGTGGCCACGTAGCACTGGTTCTGAGGTAGCGACTGATGAAGGGGGGGGAAGGGGGGCAAAAGCTGCTGCCGTCCAAAATCAGGTGCGTGTTTGCCGAGCTCCTCTCTTGGCTCCTCGTGGTCTCGAGCTTCTCTGGGCTCCTTGCCGGCTGCATGCTTCAGAACAGAGAGCGTCAGTGCCTGCGACTGGGGGCTGCTGGGACAGCGCACCCGGAGCACAGCTCCTCCCCACGGCCCTCCACGGAGACGGGTCACTGCCAGAGGCAGGAGGAGGTGGCGCCGGGCTCCTGGAGAGACACCGGTCCGCACCTCAAGCTGAGGCCAGTGTTTCCACTTTCAGAGGGAAGAGAAGCAGCGGTAGTGACCGTATGTGGCAAACCCGAAGTGACTCTCCTATACAAAGAACACCCGTCAGCCCCGATGCAGGCCACCAACTGCCCCCAAAGGTGAACAGTCCTTCCAATGGGCTGCACCGAGTGTGCTCCAACCACGCTGCCGCGGTGACACACGTGCACGGCAGAGCCACGCTGCCCTCGAGCCCGTCTCAGCTCGCAGTCTGCCGAGCTCCCGAACCGGTCTTCATCCTCAGCTGTCCCAGCTCTGGCCACCTGTGACACCCATTTGCGTCCAGCCCAGGCCCTGCCGTCATCACACAGCCCCAACGCCACCGTCTCCAGGCCACCTACTGCCCTGAGACAGCGTACTCAGATGCCACGCGGCAAAGCCAGCCTTACTGTGCACACAGCAGGGATGCTAAACCAGAAAGGCACAAACACCCTCCAACAAATGATCCTGAGAAAATTGGACATCCACATGCCAGAGAGTGGATGGGGCCCTTACATCACAGTGGACACAAAAAGTAACCTAGAAGGGATCAGACCTAAACACACAGCTCTTTGAAGAAAACCTCCGGGGGTATTCATGATGTCGGATACAACAGAGATTTCCTGAACGTGACACCAAAAGCACAGGCAACGAAAGAGCAAAGAAACAGAGCAGACTTTTCAGCATTGAAGATGTCTGTCTGTGCGTCCACAGACGCAATCGGCAGAACGGAAAGGCAACCCAAGGGATGGGAGGCATGGTTTGTAAGTCACGCATCTGGTCAGGAATTAGTGCCCAGAATACACGAAAACTGTACGACTGCACAACAAATGACCAGGTTTACGAGCAGGTGCCCTGCCTGGTGTGGCTGAGGGGGTGAGGCGTCGCCTGCACGCTGGAAGGCTGAGGGCCAGGTGCCTGGTTGGCAGGGGCTAGCAATCCCTGTTTCTCTCCCTTTCTCCCTCCCTTCCCTTCTAAATATAAATAAATAAAATCTTTTAAAAAAATAACAAAAGGCAACAGCCCCGGCTGCATTGCTCAGTTGGTTAGAGTGTCGTCCTGATGCACCAGGGTTGCAGGTTCGATCCCCAGTGGGGACACACACAGGAATCAATGAACAATGCGTGAATAAATGCAACAATGAATCTATATCTGTGTGTGTCTAAGAAAAAATCAATAAAAAGAATGGGCGAAGCACCTGAACAAACGCTTCTCCCAAGATGCCCAACTGGCCAACCAGCACCGGAAAAGGCACCGTCACCCATCCTCAGGAGCACGGGGTCAGAACCATGACGAGACAGCACCTCACTCCCTCCGAACCACCTGCAGTTGGGGAAAACTCAGGAAACTGCCCATCATACCTCGCGCTAAGCTGCACACGGAGAGAAAGGAGTGCTGGTGAGGACGTGGGCACAGCAGCGTGCGGGGCCGTGGGGCACGCGCAGCGGTGCAGCGGCTGCACAGACAGTGTGGAGGGGCCCCCAAAGCCAACCCCGAGGGGCCGCATGACCCAGCAGCCCCATTCCCTGGTCAACACCGTCAAGGACGGAAACCAGGGGTCCCAGAGACTCAGTGCACAAGGCGAGGGGCGGCGTCCCTGGTGGGCATCAGAGGGACAGGTGAGCCACACATGCCCATGAACATGACAGAGTGCCACTCAGACTTAAATAGGAAAAACTCTGACTCCTGCCCCCACCCAGACAACCTGTGAGGACACTGTGCCGAGGGAACGCAGCCAGTCAAAGAGGGGGGGCCCTGTGAGGGTCCACTCACACTCGGTCCCTGGAGGAAGCAGACCCACAGAGGCAGGCAGTCCACGGTGGGTGCCTGACGGGGGCAGAGCGTCCGTCTGTGTGGGAAGCTGGACCGTCTGGGAGAGGACGGTGATGGTCCCACAGCCACGTGAATGCACCTGATGTCGCAGAACTGACCCCTGAAACTGGTGAAGACAGTGTGTGCTGTGTTAGGGGTGTTTTACTACAGTCTTTTCTCAAGGCCTCCACATCCCCTGGGGTCACCATCGGGAGGTGCCCGCTCGCCCTACCAGCTGTGGCAGTGACGAGCGAGCTGGGGGGGACCCTGGGGTTCCAGCGTGGCCCCCGGAGCGCCCTCCACCTGCACCCCTCTGACAAGGGCACCCTCCTCCTCCTGTGCCCAGTGCAGCCACACCCGCAGCCCCCGCCCTGGGCCAGCAAGCGCTGTTCCAGTGTGACTGGTCCGCCCTGCACGACACTCTCCACGCTGGCTTCTGGTGAAGTCACATCCCCTACAAACTGCCAGTGCTCACAGACAAGTGCAAAGCACAGCACAAACATAGGCGTGGGCGGGAGCCAGAGCAAAACCTGAGAGGAAACAGCCATCTGAGAGCTACTCAGGGACAAAACCCACTCTTTAAGGTATGATTTTATTAAATCTAAAAAAAAAAAAGAAAAACACAAGATCCTGGATTTGTTAGGGCTCTATTATGTGACGAAGCAAAAAAATAAGAGAGACAAAAACTGCTGCCCCCACAGGCTCCCTGGATGGGTCCTGGGCACCCCACCAAGCCCTGGCCTCTCCCCAGGAGTGCACCTGCCGCCCACCTGCCATGTGCCTGCCTCAGACTGCAGAGGGCTGGCACACCCCGATGCCCTGGCTGCCCGCTCTCTGGCTCACGGGCTGCAGGTCAGGATGACCAGAGGATGGGACGAGCCCTCCCAGCACAGACGGCATCTCCATGCAGACGATCCAGCTGCAGTGAACACGGGGAACAGCCTAGAGCTCTGAGAACAAGGCCGCGCTCGCCCAGAGCCCGGAAGACCCCAGCAGGCATGTGTAGGAGAATGGGGCGCAGCTCAGAGGGAGAGACCCCTGAAACAAGACGCCACGGTGACGGGCACCATGGCCTGGGGCGAGGCCTAAGGGGACAAAGAGTCCTGTGCACTGGGGGTCACACACATCTGCCCCGAGTGCCAGCCATGTGCCATGTGACCTGGAAAAACAGGGTGGACAGCACAGAGGTCTCCCCCGGGGTTTTGCAGCTTCCTGGGGTCCCTGAGGCCACACAAAGAGCCTGTGAGAGTGGGGCAGGTACAGGACGGCACTGCGAGGGGAGGAGCCAGGTGAGGCGTGCGGGCTGGCCGTGCAGTGCCCTGCCCCACAGCAGGAGGGCAACGGAAAGTGCAGGCAGAACTCAGGCAACACAAAACCCGGGAGACCAGTACGCACACTGCGCAGGGGATGACCCCCCCAAGCCGGTGCTGATTCCAACAACACTCCCACAAGAGGAACAGGACTCACAACAGAGATGACAGAGAACTGCAGCTAAGGCCATTTAAAGGGTGAGACAGAACACAACAAGAACACCAGTTGTTAATGAGAACTACTTGAAAATACTGAGCACAAAGAAAGCACCCGTCAAAATAAGAACGTCAATATGTGGGATGACCAACAAAAATGTCCCAGCTGGACCCTGGGGAGGGACCGTCGGAAGAGACAGAAGAGCCACGTCACAGACAGAGCCACTCCCAAACCGCGCTCCTGGACGGAAGAGACGCCCGACCAGACCCACAGGGCCCACGGGGAGGGCTGCCGAGAGGCAGCACGGGCGACCTACACACACCAGGCATCGGACTGGCAATGCCAGGGACAGGAAATCCCCAGGGCACCTGAGCACAAGCCCAAACCCAGAGCCCTGGGAGAGCAGATGTGACCCTGCAGACACCCAGAGAAGAGGTGCATGGCAGGCGTGGCAGAGGGGACACGGGGACAGTGCCGCCTGTGCTCAGCCCCATCCCTGAGCTGGGGGCTTGGGGCAAGGACAGAGACTGAGACGTGTCCTTGGTGTGGCCCCTTGTCCCCTCCCTCTGTGACACAGTGGGTCTGACCCACTTCCTGTGGTGGGCATGGGGCTGGTGGGCGGCCTCCAGCACGAGTGGCGTCCGTGAGGTGCCTGCTCGTGGGCAACGGGCACCCACAGGAGAGCAGCGCAGAATGCAGGCTGACGGTCCTACTGCCCCTCAAGCTGCTGGCAGCACCTCCCAGGCTCCCTGGCCTGCGGATGGCTGCTGCCTTCTGCTGGCCCACTCCCTTAGCACAGGTGCCTGCCTGCCGTGGTGACAGCCAGAGAAGACAGAGGAAATGGCAAACCCAACCAACAGGGCGCATTACCAGGCCCAGGATGGACTTCGGCATGGTCTTCCGAGCCCTATGAACCTTGACATCGGCACTAGGGGCCACGGGCTTCTTGTCCTCCGTGTCTCTGCCCCCTTCCCCAGGCCGGGCTGGCGCTGTGGCGGCTGGCATCTGGGAGAGCATGCTGGGAGTCCGCCCTCTGCCAGCTGCAGACGGGAGGGTCTTCGCGGCATGCCCAGGGAGGGAGGGCGCCAAGCTGCTGGGGCCCCGTGGGGCCGGCTCCTGCAGGGCCGGCTTACTCAGGAAGTAGCCGTTGCTCCCAATGACAGCTGTCTGTGTGGGGTCATCAGTTGGGACGTGGTGGTTCTGCTTCCCGGCTTCAGCCTCCCTTTCAGAAACCCCATTCTCCGCGACCCGCGTCAGCTTGTTGGGACCTTCCTGCGAGCTGACTTTCGCGTGTTCCTGCGTGTGCTCGGCTGTGCTGGCGTGCCTGCTTCCGTCACTCCTCTCTAAGGTCCCGTTGGTGGCCCCGTCTGTGGCCACATGGGCCCCTCCTCCCAGCTTCTCTGCTGAGCCTTCCTCAGCGGCCATGGAGATCTCTGCAACAGAGGACAAGAGTCAGCGGCTGCCGCCCACCTGTGCCACCCAACCTGTGCCAGGGCGGCAGCCCCTCCAACAGTCAGACTTTGTCTAAGGGATACTCAGTGCTCCCCATACAGACAGTCAGTTCTCACAGATCCTGTGCAGAATGACTCCAACGTGAGCTTCAAAAGTCTGTTGATGAAGTGTAGGGAGGACCAAGTCTTGAGAAGAAAAGCCTGCTGGCTGGCTGGCTGTCCACCCAGCGTGTGCAGTATGGGTAAGGCCTGCAGTCCGGCCTGAAGGGACCCAGTGTCAGACCAATGGCACCACATAGTCACTGCCCGGAAGAGTCCACGACTCACGGCGCAGGCTCCCACACCCCAGGCGCTGAGGCACCACTCCAAGGAGCCCTGGGCAGGACTTAGGCAGAAAACAGGCTTCAGAAGTAGCTTCACAACTACGAACTTAAAGAGAATGGGCCCCAGACCCAGAAAACACACCCTGTCGGCCAGAGCGCCTTTTCAGCCTACCCCCCTCCAGAGCTTCGCCCCTGCACAGTGCCCACAGGCGCCCGGGACCAGTCACAGGTAAGTGCACTTCCCAGCAGAAGACCCCCGGGCACCTGCCCTTGCAGGGCAGGCCAACGCAGGCCACCCAGGACCACTGCATCACCGGATGCAGAAAGAGCCTTGATCAAGACCAGAAGCCACCACTCCACCACTCCCTGCCCCCCCACTTCTTACAGGACAATTGCCCGCCGCTGGGCCCCTGGAACCCTGGGCCATGAGGGCAGGACTCTGCCCATGTGTGCACAACTGCACCTCGAGCAGACACAAGCCTTAGCAGAACACGAGTGTGAGAGACACAAACCAAACGAGTAAACAGACATCCGTTTTCTTTAAACGCTCAGCTAGGCAGAACCGGTGGGACCTGCACTCGGAGAAGGCAACGCACCACAGTGTGCAGAGAACACGTCTGTTCAGAGACTGTGAACACACCCACTGCGAGACCAGAAGTACCCTGAGGGCACCGTGGGCACCTCCACTGTTCACACAAACGAAGTGAGGTGACAGAGGAGGAAGGCATGGGGCTGAGGACGAGACGGGGGAAGACTGCCCTGCATGTCCCAAGCAGCCCCATCAACTAGCGATGGGAACAGGCACAGCACTAAACACGAGGCCGCTCTCTCTGCAACAGCATGAGCAGGAGTATGAACATGGGGAAAAGAAGACACTATTCAAAAGGGAACATTTTAAGAGGATATAAAATGTTTTTAAGATCTTTTATTTATTTTTTAGAGAGGAGAAGGAAGAGAGAAGAGACACACACACGTCAATGTGTGGTTGCCTCTTGCACGCCCCCTACTGGGGACCTGGCCTGCAACCCAGGCATGTGCCCTGACTGGGAATCGAACCAGTGACCCTTTGGTTTAAAGGCCGGCGCTCAGTCCACTGAGACACATCGGCTGGGGCAGGGATATACAGTTTTAACCAAGACCTCTAGTAGAGAAAACCTCTGGTTTCAAGACCTCTAGTGATTTTAGTCAAGCCCTCTTGACTAAAAAACATAGAGAAAAAAAGTTTAAGTCATCTCCTGACCTTCAACAGACCAAAAAATACCAAGATGTCACCTCAAATGATAAATCTAGAAACTCAAGGAGGCCCCACCCACAGTGCAACCGGTGACCTGAGGTACACCACGACCTCATTCCAAAAGTCACGGAGCATCTTCACAAACCATGAAGTAACTCACAGAGCAGACAGTGAAGCACTGGGCGGGTGGACTCCCTGCAGCACAGGCAGCCCTGGCAGCTGCCCCAGCCGCACCTGCTGACGCTGGGTCCCTAGGGGCAGCCCACACGCCTGCGGATTCACTTACACACTTCAGTTTGAGAAATGCAATCCCAATGGTCTGAGAACCTGGTCACAACAAGGGAGAATGTAGGAAAACAGGAATGTGGCCTAGAAAAGCTCAGGGACAAGAGAGAGACAAGCTTGGTCACACAGGGTGGCTGGTGGATAAGGAAGCGGCCATCTGGTCTCAATCCTGGGTCCTGACACAGAGCTCCTTACACCCTTCACACTTTCTGGGTGACAGGAGTGTCCTTTGTTCTAATCAGGTGACTCTGGGGGAGCTCCTGGGAGGGAGCGGTCCCCAGAAACAGCAAGTATGCCTGGGGCAGAGCTGGGCACTGCAGCCCAAACCTGTACCTGGGGAGCAGAGAGGACCTGGGGCTGAGCAAGGGAGGCAGCGTGCCTGCCCGCAGGAGAAGCCTCTGTAAAACCCCTAACTGCGGGCCTGCACCTGCCCCAGCACTCAGCCCGCCCATCTCTGCCACCTGCTGTTCCCGAGCAGTGTCCTGCACGATGCCCCAGCCCAGTCAGTCAAGTGCTGCCCAGAGTCCGGTGGGTGTTCTAGAAAATCACCCAGCCTGAAAGGGGCTGAAGGCAGCCCCCAATCTTCAGCCAGTCAGCGTGCAGATACAGGGCCCTCTGAGTGGGACAGCCGTCCGAGGCGGGTCAGTCCACGGGGCAGAGCCCGTAGCTCCAGGGGTCCTCGCCACCTGCAGGAAGACAGTGCTGGAGCAGAGCTGCACGGGGGACACCCGCCGGTGCCAGAGAGCAGGCGCTGCCCGGGGCGGAAAGCGCTGCGACAGGGAAAAGCTGCTCCCCGCACACGAGCAGGCCAGGCGTCTGCCCTCATGGCTGCATTCTCGCTCCACATGGCTCTGCACCGCTGGTCAGGGCACCGCCCGGGGGAGACACAGAACAAGGGCATTCTGCTCAGGAAGCAGAAGCAATACCTTTCCCTAGCAACACAAGCACCTGGAAGGAGCACGAGAACTGATGACCGATGATGAAAACAGTAACTGAATGTGAACCTCGATCCAAACCTCTCCACACCTCACAGAAAAGTTAACTCAAAACAAGCCAGAGCCCTGGCTGGTGTGGCTCAGTGAACTGAGTGCCGGCCTACAAACCAAAAGGTCACCAGTTCGATTCCCAGTCAGGGCACATGCCTGGGCTGCAGGCCAGGTTCCTAGGAGAGGGCATGTGAGAGGCAACCACACATCGATGCTTCCCTCCTGGTCTTTTTCCCCCCTTCCATTCTCTGAAAACAAATAAATTAAAGCTTTAAAAAAAAAAGAAAAAGAACACATGAAGACCCTCAGGACCTTGAGCCAGGCTGCATGTCTCACACTCTACACTGAAAGCACAAAACTCCCTGAAGAAAAGTTGAGGGTGTGGCCTTAGAATCAAACACTTCCCAAAGCTCAAGAGCAGCAAATGTACGATGAGAAAGCAGAACTCCCTCCCCCACAGACGGCTACAATGACGGAGACAGACAGATGGACCACGAGGAAGAGTGCGGATAAGGGGAGCCCAGCCACGGCTGCAGGGCGTGCAAGTGGGCACTGGTTCCGGAAACACTTCTTACACGGCCGCCAGGTGCTCACCCTGGACAGCACCACAGCGCCTCAGTGGCACAGGGCCACGGGACGCAGCCAATGCCACTCCTCCTCAGGTGCCCACAGTGGCAGCAAGTGAAACGCACACATTTGAGGAAGCCATGGCTGCAAGATGTTCTTTATCAAATACTTTCCAAGTTTGATGGAAATGATAAAATAAGTGAACAAAGAAACTTAAAGAACTCCAAGCAAGGAAGGCACCAACAAACCAGACCACAGTACAACAATCAAACTGCTGAAAATCAGCAGTTGAGCATATTTAAAGCAGCCCTGGCTGGTGTGGCTCAGTGGATTGAGTACCAGCCTGAGAACCAAAGGATTTCGGTTCGATTCCCTGTCGGGGCACATGCCTGGGTTGTAGGCCACATCCCCAGCAGGGGGCGTGCAAGAGGCAAGCACACATTGATGTTTCTCTCCCTCCCTTCCCTCTCTCTAAAAATAAATGAAATCTATATTAAAAAAATATTTAAAGCAGTGAAAGGCAACAGAGCACAGAGAAGGGCCAGCCAGAACAACAGGCTTTTGGTTAAACCCTGCGCAAGCCAGGAAGCAACCCCTAGAGGAAACAGTTCGCCTGGAGCTCTACAGCCAACATGGTGCCCTGCAAACACTTCCAAAGCAGTGATTTCTTTCTTAGACGTCACACCACAGCACAAGAATCAGAGAAAAATTGATGGCACGGACGTCGGAACCAGGAACGTCTGTGCAGAGCACCAGCAAGAGGTCGAAGGACAAGCCACGGAGTGGGAGGGAGCACCTGCCAATCACACCTCTGATGAGGAACCTGTATCTACAACAAAACTCAATAACCAACTCACACCCCTGCTCCTTTTAGAGAGGCCAGGAGCGGCCAGGGAGCACATGCTTCCTGAGCCCCAAGTTCATCTTGTCCAGCACAGCGCGCAGTGTGGCATGGCTGGGAGCACCATGCTGGGCCTGGCCTGGAGCCCATGCCCTGGTCTGTGGCCAAGTGGACGTGACCGGGATGAAGCTGGGGGACGGTGATGTGGTCTTGCTCTCCTGCGTGGACCTGAAGTCTCTGCTATTCACTCTGCGCAGGGAGAGGGGCGCTGGCAGGAGCCACCACTTACCTTCCTCTCTCAGCAGCTCGGTCTTCATGCCGCAGTCCTGCTTCGGCTCCCCCTTCGCGGGCACCGCCTGCTGAAGAGAAAGACCGTCAGCCGGGGAGGCTACGCTATTCTCCAGCATGGCCTCTGAAGTGAGCTCCACCCCCCCCACACACAACTGAACAGGAGTGATACAGGGAGGCCTAGGGCTCAGGCCCCTCGGGAAACACCGGCCTAGGGAAGCACGCGCCTGCGTGCTGGGATCGGGCTCCAAGAAGGGCATGCTCGTGTGCGGCTCACACAACTGGACCTCGCCACTTCGGCTGGGCTAGAAACGCTATAAATTCCCACAGAGTGCCTTCTGCTGCCAACAAGAGTCCGCCTGAGTATCCCAAATGTCCACCAACCTACCAGAAAGTCACAGAAATGGAGAAACGAAGTCACCCCGAATCACCGAGGGTCTGGTCCACAACATGGATGAGACAGGCCTCCTGGAGCTGTTCTGGGACCACAGCGCCTGCCTCGAGGAAGCCTGGCCCCCGGTACAGCGGTGCGTGCCCCCTCGGAGGCTCTGCACCAGGCCTCCCAGGGCCCCTGCGGGGCCACATGGGGAATGGGGACTCACAGGTGCCTGCCCCTCTAGGGGGCTGCCTGATACACATCCTCCAAGTTTCCCACTGAAAGTTCCAGAACCCAGGGGCATGACGCCCCTGGTATGTGTGTGACTGCTGGGACGTTTTCTCCCAAGACACAACAAAATGCTCTCAGAACACTCTCACGGAGCCACAAGCTCACAGCTAGCTCCCTCTGTGCACCATGGCTCCAAGAGCAGCAGGGTCCTGCCCCGGCCACCCCAGACCTAGGACTGCCCGTCAGGCCACGACCCCTTCCTCAGCGTCTCCAGGATGCTCCCACAGCAGCCCACAGGCAGAACTGACCTCCCGGCCAGACACCCAGGCCAGGAAAGGGCGCCCACTGGGCCCAGTCCCTCTTGCCCAGGGCTGCACATGCGGCCCTACTGGCAGCTTTCCCAGTGGGTGCAGAGGACGAGACTGCAGGGGCCCTGAGAGGATCTGGCTCTCTGAGAAACACACATGTGCACACACGTGTGCACACACACGGGGCTGGGGCCCAGTCAGTAGTGGCCTCGCTCTCTTCTGAAAGGCAGGGAGGCCTCGGAGAACCAGGCCCGGCCAAGAACAGCAGGGCCTCAACCTCATCGGCCCAGAAACAACAGGTAACACGCAGTGGAGGCCTCTGTGGTCAAGGCCACTGGTGGTCCTCTGCAGGAATGTCACGGCTGCCTGTCTGAGGCCTGAGTTTGGCTGGGGGGAACAATGCACACGGTCACTTCCGGGAGTGGGGTGTGCTGAAGTGGTGGAGGAGGGGCAGCTGTCCAGGCCGTGGCTCTGTGCTCTCGGGGGCAGGCCGAAGCACCGCCCCTCCTGCCACTCGCCGTCTGCACCATCACCACTGCCACAGGAGGCTGGGGTGGGGTGCCAGGCACTGCCACACACTGGGGGTCTAGGCGCCTCCCTCTTAGAAAGAAGGTGGGAGACCCTCCTTCCAGGGCTCCAACCTGGATGCTTCGCCCATGAGGAAGAGCCATTCTCCTCTGTGAACAGTGAAAGTGAAGCCTGCGGCCCAGCCTCCGATCCCCCGCCCACTCCCTAGGCCACAGCCCACATACCAGACAGCCTCTCCCGAGGCCTCTGTGACTCGTTACCCCTTGCTGGCACCTCCATGAGACACACCGCCCAGCCTGTCTGTCCCACAAGCACTTTGGGCTCCACAGGAGGGACCTTCCTGTTTGAACTTCTTTCCGATGTGTTGGCAGCGCTCAGCGTGCACAAGGCACAGAGCTAAGTACGTGGCAGGAGAACGAACGAGGCCTTTCCAAGGAGACCGAGGAAGGAAAGGCCACTGAGTGAGTGAGGGCAGGATAGCGCCCCACAGCTCCCCACCCAGGCGAAGTCTCTGGAACACCCCGGATCCAGACGAGAAGCTGCTGCATGAACAAAGGGGAAGGCCAAGGTGTCGCCACTGACCCTGTGGGCGAGGGGCTGAGCAGGGTACAGACAGGCTGAGCAGGGTACAGACAGAGTCTGGTGCTGAGCGGGGCCCGCGAGCAGGGCAAGAGGACTGGAAACCTCCCAAATTCAGATGTGCTCTGCAGGCTGAAGGTGCATGCACCTACAGAGGGGGCGTGTGGTTCCATCACCTTCCAGAAGGGCCAGCCACTACCAAGTCAGTGCAGGGCCAGGAAAGGGCCAAAGATGGAACCTGTGGCCCAGCCTGCAGCAGAACCCTGCTCTGGCCCCCGCCAAGCCACCAGGGCTGCTGTGGAGGCCTCAGCCCCACAGGCTCTCCACCCTGACTGAGGCTGCAGAAGTCCTCCCCATACTAAGGGCAGGGGGGCTGATCTGAGCCTCTGATTTGCAAGAGGAGCCTTAATGGACACCAGGAGGAGGGTGGAGGCGGTGGGAAACCCCGTGGGAAACTGCCAGCCAAGGCGCCATGCGCGGTGGAAGCTCTGCCCACAGCCAGGGCCCTGATGCAAGGTCCCGAACGAGGGCTGACTGGGATGGGGAAGGCGCAAGGGCACAAGATGAGTTTAGAAGGTTGTGTTGTGCCCACGAGGTAGTGTTCAAAACTGGTGAGGCTGACACGAGGACACAGAGAAGCCGAGAGGGACACTCACTTGCCAGTCTGGGACTCTGGGCATCAGAACGACAAAGGGCAGGAATGGACTGATAACCCACTGGCAAAACAGGGCCGGTGTCTGCAGTGGGGTGAAATGAGTGAGTGGACATTCAGTGACGCAACGCCGACGATGTGTGAAGACAGGGTACACTGGGGTTCGGTCTCCACGGAAACTCCAGGTGGGCAGCCGTGGGAAGCCCAAATACACAGTCTCGAGGCATCTTTGCAACAGAAAAGCAAACAACAGTAACACTACATGGGGAAGCCTGGTGGCATCGTCTGAACCCCATGACAGCCGTGGGCAAAGCACTGTCGACACACCGATTCTGGGGCAGGTCTGCCACAGCGCACAACCCAGAGTCCACTGTGAGGGGCCTTCCAGAAAACGACTGGCCTGCCCTCCAAGGAGCCCCTTTGTGCGAGGAGAGGATGGGGCTTGGCCGAGGCCCCTGTCGGGCAGGAGAACAGGTGTAAAGGTGATGATCTTCTGGGTCAGACAGCTGCCTCCGTGGGAGGAGCCCTCCTCAAAGCCAGGACCCTATGTTTACGCAGGAAACATGCCCTCCCTGTTTGTAGCAGAAGAGGAGGCAGCAAAGTCTGAACCTGACCTCTGAGGAGTTCAGGGGACAGGGGCTGTGTGCACACATGTGCGTGTGCTTGCGTGCCACTCACGGGACGGTGTCACTCTTCACCCACAGGCAACCACACCTCCTTTGCCCATCCATGTGAAACAAGGAGCTCCCCGCAGCACCACCTGGTGAGGTCAGGGTCTCCTGTGTACCCTTCTCTGTTATGTGACTGTCAGCCCTGAGCCTCAGCAGCACCTGTACCAGCTCACCTGCAAGGTGGGGTGCCTCCTACACAGGTGAAGAGCCCCAGGCCCAGAGGCTCAGCCTCCAGGCGCTGCCCCACCAGTCTGCACACCACTGTTTCCCTTTGTTCTCAGTGAGCAGTGGCTGGTGGCCATGACTGCAGCAGCTCCGACGTCCCCCTCTGGGACTGTCGACATCACAGACAAAGAAGGGCTCCCGCACTCTAGACAACGGATCAAAATTACTCAAAGACAAGTCGGAGGAGTATTTAAGGGGAGTCGTACCAATCTGCACTTTGAAGACCTGGAAGAAAGAGCCAGGACCCCGTATGTGCTGGCTCTAATGGCCCTGGGCTCACGAGAAGGAAAGACTTCCACAGCTCCCAGCTCCCGTGGGCCCAGGATGGGAGGCCCGCAGTCCCATACAGAGGAGGTCAGAGGCCTGAGCCCAGTTTGGGGTCTGCCCGCCTCTTCCAGCCGCCTGCTCCGGCTCCGGCCCTCCCCTGGGTCACGAGCAGCAGTGACCTCGGGGGTTCCCCACCCACCACAGGCGCTCACGGCTACTGAGCACAGAGCAGCCTGTGGCACCTCACAGTCCACCCAGTCAGTGGTGGGCACGAGGCTGGGGCTAAGGAAGCAGCTCGCACCCTCTGCGGTGAACACACACAGCACAATCACCTCGGAGGGGTGGTTCCGTTGCTTTTCCTACTCAAACTCAAAGGTTTCCACCAAGGTCTAGAAGAGCCGACCTTGCTCCACTGCCTCTGCATCCTGAACCAACTGGAACAGTGCGTGTCCATGCCACGCCCACAGGTGGTAGCAACAGCGATCATCTCCGCAAGCTCCTCTGCCCACTGGCCTTCAGGCCTCCACCCCGCACCTCACCCCCAGTCTTGGAGGGGAGAGTGACACCGAATTCCCCGGAGAGTGCCACGCCCCTCTGGAGCAGGCTGTGCGACCCCCTCAATTCAGGCCAACCATCTGCAAGGAAACCTTCCCAGAGAGCCTGTCCTCCCCGAAGCCCACCTCAGCTACTGACGCCCAGCTACACTCGGTCCACTTCCCAAAGAAGCAGTCTCGCAACCAGTCATACTTGGGACTCCGGCAGGTTCCTGCATGTGTGCTCTGACTGCCACGCACAGCACGCACGTCCCAGGGAGAAGTCTCCCCGCCGCAGGACGCTACAACTAGAAAAGGCGTCCTTCCTGGGGAGAGTAAAGGAAAACTCTCTACTCACAAGAAATGCTCAACTGCTTCCAGTTGCCATGATCTTCGAAACGGTGCACTGGCTGCACCAAGACCCACGCGGGACACGGGACAGACCAGCCCGCAGGGAGGGGCAGAAAGGCACACCCTACAGGACAGTCACCCATAGAAACACAGAAGCCCGACACGGGACCAGCCTGGCACGCAGACCTCGCGCCCTGCCACGTGAGCACAGTGTCAGCTCCAGCTCCAGCTCCGGGCTCAGGCCTAAGAACAGGAGGCCTCGGGGTGCGGACGCCGGCTTCTGCGCGGAGGTCAAGAAGGTGCTCCTCAACTGCAGCACGCACCTTCAGTTTGAAAGGGGCCACAGC